AAAATAAAAATTTACAAAAATGGGGTTTTTGAGAAAATCGACCTCAAACTTTCAACATTTGTCATTTCTTACAACGTTTACGTGAAAGTAGCGTAGGGGCTAGTAGACAGATCATAATGATATCATTATATCTATAATGGGCTTGCTTTGGGCTTTCTGTAGAGCCAAAGAAAGAAAATTTACCTTAAGTACAGACAAAGTAATGACCTGTCAATATTGACCAAAAAGCGACCGGAGTGACGAGTTTGACATGTGTTTTAAAAAAACAGTCAAATTCCTAAAAATATTTGAATACATCAAGGTATCTTTATAATACTTATTAAATGAGGGGGGAAAGTTAAAAGGGTGTAGAGAAAACAATAGCGTCAACAGAGGGTGTCAAACACGCGACCTGTGACGGCAGGCAAAAACACTAGTTTCTGCCACTGCGGCTTCTACGGCTCGTACCTCGAGAACAAAAAATCGGGAAAACATGCGGTTTGCGCCCTCCTTCATTTGAAAAATGCCCCCAAAACATAATTTTTTTTTTTTTGGTGAAAATTAAAAATGAGACCCTTTTAGCCTGCCCGATTTGAGATGAAATCACCCGCACCATTCTCCAAGACAATCTTTTTTTTTTCCCTCAAAATGACTTTTTAATACATCCCTTACCGTAAAAATTCAGCGCAGTGCCTAGCGCCATCTAGTAAAGGCATTGCGAACCAGTACGCACCCTTTGAGGAATGCCGCCTGCTATCTTGGGCCGATCCAGGCGGCGTAAAAGGTGTGCGCGTTCGAGGAGGAGGGAAAAGGAATGCCTATGCTGTCGGAGTGCAGTGCATGCTAAGAGCTCATGTCGCCAATCAAATAACGCCGACTGTCCAACGTCACGGCTTTCATAGTCTTACTTTGCAGCACATCCTTCAAGGCTGGTAGACCGTGACAGTGCGTTTTTGAGCCTGTGTGGATGTATTTGCGCGTCTTTCAGCCTTTGACTGCTCTGAATCAAGTATAGGAAGCCCGTCTGCTATCTTGGGCCAAACGAGGGGGCGCTACAGTCGACGCGCGGGTGTAAAAAGCAAAACATAAAGATAAAAGGTGTGCACGTCAGAGGTGGAGGGAGTTGTCGCTACCTTTTTTTCGCTCGCAAAAGCATTGTTGCTTTTCTTTTTTTTTCGAAAACAACCGAAAAAAAATATTTGTAGCTTCTTTCATTATAAATAATAAGTAATGACTGGTGCTTGCATACAGTGATCAAATACAGGCATAACATAGTTTAGGTGTACGAGAAATTGTTTTTGAAAACTATACTTGTAATCGCGAATTCGGGGTGATCACTGAGAGTGGGCGGCCAAACGAAAATGCCGCCCCCGCCCCCCCCCTCCCCCCCCCCCCCCAAACCCCCCAAAAATTCCTTCAATAAAAGTCACGCTTGCAAGTACCGCCAGCAAATGTAGTGGAAATGCGCCGGACACGTGCCACGAGCGGGTGCTGCGCCGCCCTTCGCTTCGAAGGGCCGTTCATTCCATTGCTGCGCCGCCATTTTCTTCCAAGGACCGCTCGGGCGCATTTTGACGCTACTTGCAAGACAAACGGAAACAGGTCAAGGGGCTTTACCCCCTCCTGCTTGGATGGATGGATGAATGGATGAATCCGACTGAGCCCTTTGGATCGGGCGGTAGCTCACGCCACCTGCCTAGCTAGCTTCCTCCGAAAGAGTAGCGCCCCCAACGGCAGCCATCAACCCTCTACCAAACTTTGGCCAAAGTTTCATGTCCAGTGCGTCATTGAAGGACCCGTATATTGCCTTGGACTACGTTTATCTCTGCGATGTGAACGTCCGGTGATGTGCCGCTCAACGTTCTTGCAGAAGTAGAGAGGCATGCCACCTGACGTTTCCAAGAAACGCTGGGGCCGCCTTTATCCCCTGGCGCACGATCGATAAACTGCAGTGATAAGCTAACAAGGAACCCCCGTTGTCTGGTCCGATATGAAATGCAAAGCGCGGAGGCCCAGCGGCGATGGGAACGTAGACACCTGTCACCAAAATTTCCTGTAATCCAAGGGAAAAAAAAAAAAAATGAGGTGGAAAAATAAATTATATATATTAGATTTAAATTACAGAATAATTCACGACTTTTTATTGGTGTAACCCACGCCATACTACGCGGTAAGATAGAAAAAAAAAAAAAAAAAAAAACTTGGTGCTTAGGCTTGCATAAAACAAACAAACAAAAAACACGATTTGCACTGAGTTGAAATTCAGTGAGAACGTCAGCGGTGGGGATAAAACGCGAAAGTTTGAGCATATGACTTTAACTAAATCACTTTCCAAACTTAACATAGACAATAACGTTCTCGCATGGATAGTCTTTTTTTAACTCAACGGTCTCAATTTGTCACTGTGAATAACAATAACTCCTCTTTTGTCAAAGTTGCGTCAGGGGTTCCGCAAGGGACAGTCTTAGGGCCGTTGCTATTCTTAATTTATATTAACGACCTACCCACTAGTGTCTCTTCGTCCGTGTCTCTGTTCGCTGACGACTGTGTACTTTACCGTGAGATTCTCAATCATAATGACACCTGTATACTCCAATCAGACATTAATGCTATTTACCGTTGGTCTGACTCGTGGTCTATGAAGCTTAATACTAACAAATGCAAGGTCATGCGTGTGTCTCGCCGGTCTCAGGACTCTCCTAACTATTTCCTTAATAATGCTCATCTAGAACCGGTATCTTCGTACAAATATTTAGACGTACATATAGCTTCTAACCTTTCATGGAAAACACATATTCAGCATATTTCAGCTAACGCTAACCGCATGTTAGGTTACATCAAGCGAAATTTTTCATTAGCCCCTCTCTCACTGAAATTAACTCTTTACAAAGTTTTAATTCGTCCCAAGTTAGAATATGCAGCTTCCGTCTGGGATCCCGGACTAGTCACTCTCGTATCTACATTGGAAGCCGTTCAGAACAGATCCGCTCGTTTCATCCTCACAAACTATCACCGCACCGCTAGCGTCACCTCTATGAAGACAACTCTCTCATTACCACCTTTATCACTACGTCGTAAAATTTCTCGTCTTTCCCTATTCCATAAAATGTATCACCATAATTCTTTCCTGCGCGACAAATTAATTGCTCGGCCTGTCTATGTTTCCTCCCGTCTTGATCATCAACATAAGGTGGGCATTCCTAACTCTATCACAACCACGTTTTATTCATCTTTCGTTCCCCGTACATCCCAGGAGTGGAACCACCTTCCCCGGTCGATCGCCATTATCACGGACTCTGAGCTCTTTAAAAGTACAATAACTAATTACTTTATTACTGAGTGTGTCTAAATATGTATTATGTTATTTGCATTAACCTTCTTGTTGCTCTCCCCCTCTGTAATGCCTTCGGGCCCTGAGGGTATAATAAATGAAATGAAATGAAATGAAAAGATTAAAAAAAAAATATCTATAAGCCGACGGTCCAGCTAACCCTAATTTGCGTCAGATAGATATTTAAGATTGTGGGCACCAATAGCCATTTATTTCAATGGAAAAAAAAAACTTGTCAGTTTGAAAGGCGATATTATTTTCTTGCTGAGAAGTTTTTTTGTTGTTTTGACATGATTGTTACACAATTGACATAATTGTTACACGCACAGTTTCAATTTGATGAATGTTAGGCTTAGGTGGGCATCGGCTCATAGATAATTTTTGCTTTCTCTTTGTGTCTTTTTTTATTCAGGTAATGTCATGTGCTCGAACTTCCGCATTTTATCACCACCGCCAGCGTCACATTCACACGGCTTCACGAGTTTATTTCTATAGGCCAAAAGAACCCGGTTTCATTTTCTCGATCTCACCCTGCAGAACAAAAACTGCTTACTGCAATAATACTTAAAAGAAAACAAGCGAGCTGGTGATGATTCATGGTAATGAATCATGGTGCTGAGTCTCGGGTTTTATTACCGTGAAAAACTGCTTAATTTTTTTAGTTAGCTGAAAGGCTTTATGTGATTTTTGTTTCTCATTTTCATGTTTTTGCAATAAGACATTACTTTTCTATAGATTACGTATCTCTCACGTTCTGACTTCCTTGCAATATGACGTTACGTAGCTGACAACCGAAGTGGAAGGTCTCGGTGTTCCGATTGGCTCATAAGGCGCAGTGCTCTTGGCGCCATGTTCAGCCGGATGTACATCTTTCTCGCTTGATGATTCTTTGATTTCGGTGCGAAACAAAAGCACACTAAAAGTATCAAACGATATGCGAACAGTAAATACAAACTATTTTCGAAATTATTTTTGCGGGCAAGGTTCGATTTTAATCATCACAGTAAAACTTGTCGGATGTAAATCACGATTTAAATTAAGATTTAAATCATCCGGATTTTTATTCTCCACCCTGCTGTAGTCTCTTAGATGAAGGTAGAGAGCCCATGTTTCAGGGAGATTCCAAACGCTCAGTTAGAGTCACGTGATTTAAGGGCCTCGTTTGCACGTGCGAGCTGCGAGGAGGTTACGAAGGCGATGGTCGTCTGCAAGCGCCTCCGCCTAGATGGATGGATGGATGGTAATGGCTATACCGTAAAATAGTTTGTTGTTGGGCGATTTGATGAACGTTTGGATACATGGTTTTGCGCAAAAAAGACGGACACAAGAGAGAAAAACAAACACGAGCGCAACTTACAACTGTATTGAGGAAACATTTAGAAAACATAGAGATATATCGTTAACTTCAATGCGTCCACGCATGCGTCGTGTCACTATCACACGCTCGTCACAGAAACTTATCAAGGAAGCGTTTTTCAGCATTATACAAACTTATCGAGGTATCGCTCACACATAGGTCGCCTTTCTTTTTGATAAAGAAGGCTTCCAACAGCTCACGTGCTTTTTGTCCCTTACTTCCGCCCTGCGCGTTTTGCAAATGTCTATTGTGCTCTGGTCGTTTTTTGTACATGCGAAGTCCCACGTGGCAACGTGGAGGATGACGTTGATCGAAGGCAATGTCTGACGGCAGGTACCTGGAGAGCAAGGCGCTGTTCAACGTGCACCTGGGCTCCCACCAGAGGGAGAGCAGAGACAAGACCGAGGTGGTCGCCAAGGTGGCGCACATCTGCGAGCACAGGCTCTCGTACAGGACATACGTGAGTAACTGCAGCCCAGCAAGGAAGATCAAAGGAGGGGGCCAGTGGTCCGCGGCCCGCCTGACCGTTACAACATAAAGGACAGGGTTAAAATGAAAGGTTTATTGCACCGCAAAGGCGACTTTTTTCTATAAAGGTTACATACAATAGTCTTTCTTTTAGGAAGAAAAAAATAGTTGCGGTGAAGTGGCAATTATTAGGTCAACAAAATAGGTCTGCGCAGTTCTTCGCCCACGACGTGCCATCCGTCCATGGCGTCAGATCTTTCTGCACACTCTCCCCTCCCGCATTGCGTTCAACTAAATTTACATGCTGAAAGACGTTTGGTTTCATAACTACGTCAGAGCCGTAAAAGTGGTTTGCGGATCACACTGCTCTCCGACGTTTCGCGGCTAACGCTTTTGCGCTGACGTTGTTACCTTTGGCTTGCTGCATGGTTCTTTACTTCCGTTTCCCTAGAATGACATCGCCATTCTGCGGCTCAAAAAGAAGGTGATCTTCAACGACTTCATTCAGCCGGTGTGCCTTCCGGAACCTTCCCTCGATGATGACTTGCCTGCAAACACCACCGTGTACGCCACCGGCTGGGGCAAAACCACGTGTGAGTCTTTCCTGTTCAGTGAAACACTCATTGTACAGTGCACACCAAACCTTCGGCTCTGACCAAACCTATACAGAATACCCGAACTGTGCGTTTTTTTCATGGTATCGCAATCGTGCAGGACGCTGGAAAACGGCTCGTTGACGATCACTTCGGGATAGTTTGTTGAATATGTCATAAGACCGTTGCGTGACTGCCGCCAGGATAACGCCGAAAACATGCAAACGCAGAAGATACGTATTATAAGTTTGATGAGCACTGTAAAAGCCGGGGTCATATTGCTCACGCATCATGCAAAAAACAGTTACGCGTCATTCCGATATCTGTGGTTCGAGTGCCGCGTGCCAAGTTTTCTCCTTGAACTCGTTGTCATGCGGCATTGGAAGCACGGATCTCGCGGTGACTCGTATTCGAATCTGTATGCAGACTGTTCTTTGTATGATGTGTAAGCAGTGTGACCCCGGCTTAAGTGACGCATGGCACTTCAGACAAAAACGTATTGTCGAATCTCTGGTTCCAAATTTGGTTGTATACTACCTTAATTGGTATACACAGTTCCAGCGCTTATCAGTCTGGCAAAAAAAAATGTTTAGTCAGTGGGCTGTGGACGCACGCACGGCGTCCGATATTTCGCAGAAGAGAGATACTGCGCATGCGCAGAACGTGTTCCGCTGCAGCCCAGCAGGGGCCCCAGACTTGTCAAGCACAAAATTGGGACCGAAGTTTTCAGAGCGCGCCGATGGGACTCTCGCGACGGTGACGTCGCACTTTTGTCGCCGAAGTCAGAGCGCTCCGCGAACTTTCGGCTCTAACGTTGTGCTTGACGATTCTGGAGCCCCAGTAGACAAAAAAGGCGACCATCGAAAACGTGGCTTATTTGGCGCATCGGAACACACGGACGTTCACGCTGAAAGGGCACCGTAAAGAAGGCGCGGGGAACGCACGATGACGAGATAGCCGAGTCACGCCGTCTCATTGGCTGATGTCAGCGGGAAACGAAAGTACGTGGGGGCATCTGGAGGGTCTACAAACGCACGAGGTGCGCAAAGAGCAGGCGAACTTCCAAGTCGTCTTAGACGCTTTCTTGCAGTTGCTGAACCACGGTCTCGGTCCTCCCAAAGTTCGTCACTAGTATTGTAGCGCCAGCTTTCTCTCACGCTGCTGCTGCTCTCTTAACTGAATAGTTGCGAAGACGCGTCGCAAGGTGCAATCGAGGCGGCGCTTCAATCAGCTGGTGACGAACGGTGTTAGAAGTGGGGGTTCGTGCCTCGTTAGCCAGCTGCGTTGATGTGATCCTTGTACGATCTACCGCAAGTATTAGGGTTACTTATACCGACTGGCTTTCTGTACTAACTTAGTGCCTATTTCTTTAACTTTTATCGCATAGTTTCAAACCTTAGTTTGAAACTAGTTTCAAACTAGTTTCAAACTTAGTTTCAAACTTAGTTTCAAACTAAGGACAAAAACAAAGTAGTCACATATGTGGCTACTTTGTTTTTGTCCTTAGTTTGAAACTTTTCTTTCTTTTAAATACGTATTTCTAAACATCAAATATTGATGATCATGTCAAGATATCGTTTACAGTCGTTTGCAGCCGTAGAAACTTATTTCGGAAAGTCAGTGGCCCTTTACGATTTCGTCGTCTTGAGTTTGTTCGTAACCTCATTGCGGGCCATAAATATACTTGCTCCGACACTTTTGACGATCAACCTTTAACCATTGCTTGCTTTGATGCGCTCATCGCAATCGTCGACATTTACTGATGATCCGAACAAAACTCGCACCGTCGAGGCTTGTAGAGAAAGACTCGAAGAGGAGAGCCTTCTCGAAGCTTCAACGCTGCAGTCGACGTTTCGCAAGGAGACTTAGCGAAACGCCTTTTAGCGAAACTGTGGCTGCCAACAGGTGCATTTCCGTCCTGCGTCAAGATAGGTTAGGACAAGAAGTCGCGCAAAAACCAGCTCTCTCCGATCGCTGCAGCCGACATGGAAGGACCTCTGTCTGACGTGCTCAAGCAGCTTCAGACAGAGACCATGGACCACGACGAGTGTCAAGGCTACCTCAAGCTCAAGTTGTTGGACTCTATGCTTTGCACCAGGCACAGCTATGGCTCCACCTGTCACGTGAGTGGTCCCGCATCTGGGCAATCCACAGGTCAGATAAAAGGAGAGGGACACACAAAGCGGGCCGCGAAGTAGAATGCCTAAAGTTACGGACTCGCCGAAACAGTGTTTTAGAACGCCCCAACGCCCGAGCTCTTTGGGGGACCCGAACCTTTGAGACCCCCCTATTCTGAAAGTCTATTTTATCTTTTTGGGGTTAACTTGTTTTCCACACATATACACATTGCCACAAACAGCTCCAACTTGTGCATTTACACCCCTTTCGTCTGATTCACATCTCGGCCGCCAGGCCGGTCGAGATTCCGCTGCACACTTGGATAGGCGGTAGCTCCTCGCTCTTACCCTTCTCGTCTTGTCCGCCGGGTGGCGTGGCCTCTTTTGGAGTTGCAAATAGTGCATTCTATCTGTCAAGGACATTTAATGATTTGCGTTCGCACGCGTGCTAATTCTATGTGGTTGTAATTAGGCGTTCACGCTTTTTATTTTCTTGCCACTTTTATTTTATTTTTCTCAAACATTTTCTTCTCTGCTCATCACTGCGCATGGCTGCGATAGCCTCACCAGGCGGCGTTAGCTTGCAGTGTACTCCATCAACCTAGACTGAAATTAATAATATTATTATTATTAAGGCGGAAGCCTTATGTGTATCATCGTTCAGTCGGCCTTTAAAGTCCTTGAGCGAAAACACGTCGGTGACACGAAAGGTACCAAAACGTTTACGTGACCACTCAGGCGGCCGCTCAATCGTATGCTCAAGGACGACGCCCTCCTTGGCGTCGTCCTAGAAGCCGTCCTCTAGGCGTCCTTGAGGTCATCCTTGAGGTTGTCCCAGAAGTCGTCCTTTAGGCGTCGTTCTCGACGTCGTCGACGTCGTCCTCTAGGTGTCGTTCTCGACATCGTCCGTAAGGTCGTCCTTGAGGTTCTCCTCGGCGTCGGCCTAGACGCCGTCCTAGAGGCTGTCCTGGACGCCGTGCTTGGCAATGATCTCTAGGACGTCCTCCTCGACGTCATCCTATACGTCGTCCTAAACTTTAATACGCGTAGAAACATAAGACGAAAGCATTTCACCCGCGGGACTATAATGCTTTCGCCTTCTTACACCGAAGGAGTCTGAAGTGTTTTCCTGTAATTTTCATTATTCCATAGTAACGTAGGCCCCGTGTCTACTGTGTGTCGCGTGTTCCTCTTTGTTTCATTCGTCAGACGCCACATCAAGATTAGCTCCCGTCTGTGAGGGAGTCTGTTTGGCCATGCAGGGTTGACTGTTGGTACTAAAAACGCTAGCTTGATGGCGCAAGCCGCCGTCCGGTATCGCGGGTTGAGCAGAGTGTGCGTCCATCCGTGCAGGGGGACAGCGGCGGACCCCTGGTCAGGCAGACCGCGGACGGCGCCTGGGTGCTGGAGGGCGTGCTCGCCGGGGGTCCCCCGGTCTGCGGCGTCACGTCGACGCCCATGCGGTTCACCAAGGTGTCCCGCTTCGTGCGCTGGATCCAGGACTACCGCTCACGCAAGACTCGCGCCGCCCTCGAGAACTTCTGCAAGCCCAGAGCGGCCGAGTCCGGCGATTGAAGACAGGGGACGTAATCTTGTGTTCGTCGGAAGAATAAAGAAACGTGATTTGAAGGGTTTTGCTTGAAAATAGCGTTAACGTTTGATTTGGGTTTACCAAGAAGAGTAGTTCTCCAAATAGGCTTGTTTCTCGATGCTCAACTGACGCCAATTTAACTCGAGACATTTATTAAAAAAAAAAAAAAAAAAAAACAGTGGTCAAATGTATATCGATGCTTATTCTCGTGTTCTCTTAAAAGCTCCCGGGAGCCCAGTACACAAGGGGGAGGGCTACATGGATTGGTCATACGATGAATACACAACACTTCGAGTGAGTACATCAACATCTAGAAAAATTTCACACAATGACACTGAAACAAAAATAACTAAGCAATGCGAATTGCTACCAGAGTCTCTCCCTCTTGCTAGTTATGTTATGTGCAGCGACTGTCCTGACTTAGGTTCTGGCACCCTGTATAGCGTTAGAACGAGAAAAACAAACACTGGTCCCTAGTACGTCAAACATACGGCAACCTTTTGCTTTTTTACTTTTGAGCGTAGCCAGTTGCCCACGTGTTCGTCGGCGGGTAAAAATCGGTGTTTGTCGTGCTAGTGAGACTAGGCCGGGGTGTAGGATATACCGGGTGTTTCACGAAACGTGGACAAATTCGATATTGCAAAAACTACGCGTAGCAAAAAAAAAAAAAATGCTTGTGTTGTTTTGGTCCTTGACCAGGGGCTCATTTAGGAAAATCATTAAAATTTAGGATAATTAAGTTGTTAATTGTTGTTGCGTAATTAACTTTTTGATATTGTATTAGGGCATGGTTTCAATTAGAAAATTGCTCAGTATCATCGAAAAACACTAAATCAACAAATTGCAGAACGAAAGAAGGCACGCACCGCATTTTATGGCTTCCTGAAAAACCGCACAAATTCGACGGGATTTTAAGTTTCGGTTGGCAATCGGAGCGCTTCTCGGCCTCGACGGCACCGCGCCCCGTGGAGGAATAGTGCAACCTGCCTCTGCTGCGTTGCGCGAGGACAGCGCAGCAGAGTTTGGTTGCACTATTTCTCCACGGGGCGCAGTGCCGTCGGGGCCGAGAAGCGCTCCGATTGGAAACCGAAACTTAAGATCCCGTAGAATTTGTGCGGTTTTTCAGAAAGCCGCAAGATGCTTTGCGTCCCTTCTATCGTTCTGCAATCTGTTGATTTGGTGTTTTCTTGATGATGCTGAGCAATTTTCTAATTGAAACCATGCCCTTAAGCACAAAATTAAAAAGTTAATTATGCAAAACTAATTAAAAATCTAATTATCCCGGAGTTTAACAATTTTCCTAAATAGACCCCTGGTCCAGGACCAAAACGACACAAGCCTTTTTTCGTTGCGACGAGTAGTTTTCGCATTATCGAATTTGTCCACTTTTTGTGAAAAGTGTGCCATAGCCTCCTCTGTACTCACAAAGCCTGGCAGTTCTGCAACGGAGCGATAGAGTGCCGGGTCGCAGATTTGATGCGCGAGGATCTGGTAACACAGAGCATTTCTCGGAGAATTTAAAGCCCCTCTATCCTGGGAAAAGTGGCGCCATTTATTGTTGTGGAAATGCTCGAGAGACTTGCCGCGCGCCACTTCTGGGAAGAACATGGCGTCTGAAATCTAGCTTAGTGCTACGCTGTGCCACCATGATGTTCCCAAGGGCTGCACGTGCCTCGTGCATTGACGCATTTCGCGCTACTTTTGAAACATGAAGGGGCATTAAGGGAACCTGCACGTCAGCGCACAGTTTTGCAGCGGCGAGGACCCGAAACCTGGTTTTCAAACCCGATGAGAAGAGAAGCGGTCGTGCGAAGAGCACGAGCGGACATTCCATCGATCGGGAAAACTGTGTTTCGGCGTCTCGCCGCAGCGGGGCGCCGGTCACGTGGCTTTCCTCTCATCTGTTGCCTGCCGCTCCACCTTTTCCATTTCGGCGGCCGCTTCTCGTGGCGATCTGCCAGGCTGTGTCTTTATTCAGAATACCTCGCACCGCCTTACAAAGGCATTATTGCGAGGGAGGGGTACACATACATTTGAGAAAAAGTACAAAAGTACAAAAAGCGCAAGGCCGAACATGAGATAATAATATCAATTATTTTTAGGTTTATGAAGCATCACTTAACACATGGTTAAAGAAAGAAGTGGCAGAAGTTGTAGAGATTGTCACTATAAAGGCTATGCTCGTGCCCATGGCACCGTGGCGCGCACTGGTCCTCTGACCTTGAGGGACGTTGGCTTGAACACCGCGCCAGAGATCTCTCCGATTCAACGCACTCATAAAACTGCTATTTCCAACGTTGAGGCTGCAAAACTAAATGACGAAGCAGTGTCTAAGCAACACGCATAAGGCGAGTGCTAAATAGTTCCAAGGTGTCCCCGAAAAAAAAAAAGTACGTTTGTTTTTTTTCCGCAAAAAAAAAAAACAAAAAAAAAACGCACTGTCGTACGCTCATTATCCGCCCAAAGGTGGCGGCAGATGTCCGAACCAGACGCCAAAGTTTTAGCCCGAACCGACATCTTCTTCAAATGTTAGGAGCGATTTTTTGTAAATTTTAATGGGAAAACGGGGGCCATTTTTACCCGTTTTCGGTTTCTGGCGCCATAGATTCGCCGTCGACCGCCATTTTCCCAATTAAGTTTTCAGAAAATCACTTATAACTTTTGAATAGGGTATCGGATCGGACTGAAAGTTTGGCATCTGGTTGTGACCTCTAGCACTGCCTTTAAGCGGATAAGAAGCGCTCGGCGATGCGTAGTTTATTTTTGCGGTGGAAAAAAACAATAAAAAAAAACGTAATTTTATTTTATTTTTTGGGGGGACACTCTGTACATAACGCGGGACATTCCGAAACTGACCTTAAAAGCAAGCATGTTCCCCTTAGAGAAGCACGGGAAACCAGACAGGCTGACATGAGCCGTGTGTCGAGGAGCCATCTGGTTGTGCCGGCTTGCAACCAAGGCGAGGAGAGGACTTGATCTGCAGTACCTGCGACACGAGGTCTGCGGAGTTGTCCGCACGCGCTAGCGCTAAAACGGACTTTTTGTAAAATCACGCGCTCTCGCGCCAGTATACCCTTCAAACCGTCGCACACAACCCTCGGGACGCGTGATTGACGCTTCGTAAGCTTAAATAACCTGACCTTCCAAGGCATGCTGCTTAGGAACTGCAGGCCATGGCCGGTCCCCACATCTTATTCCGCATCCAATGAGACTGCGCTATCAACCACCGAAGAACGAATCACCAAGCGCGAGCATAATAAACCACGCCCTGCGTTTCTTCACCTGTCGGGGACAATAAAAAAAAACCTGCATCGATGCCGCGCGTAATATCTAGAAAATCGATATCACATGTCGTGCGGCAGCGTAGCGTTGAAGTAAAGCAACCGGAATAATAAAAAAAAACATCTAACGAAAAGAATCAGTTACGGCCACGTCTTCGTACAGAAACGCACTGTTTACAAAGGAGCCGGCGTTTTCGCACACCGGGCACTGCGCGTGCACAAAAACCAGATTCGCACGGGCTTCTGCGCATGCGCAGTGCCGACAGCAGCGACACCTCAGTGGCGTGACGTCACAGAGTTGAGTCGGTGTATACGGCAAGCAAATTCGTCCGCTTCTTGCGCAGATGGTATGGTGACGTCACAGCGCCGAGCTCTAATGGGAGGGATATAGTGGGTACACAAAAGGTGTAACGGGATTGGACGACATATCTGGGTAGAGACGAAGGTGCAAGACGTTGCGCGAGTCGTAGCAGTGAGTAAAGACATGAAGACACACTCAGAGACATGAAGATGAACACGAGGTCTTGGACCGCTCCGCACTGGCAGCTTCGTGAAATTGCGGACGTGGTGACTTGCCCTCCTCGCCACTCTTTTTTCGCAAAATGCACACACCGCCACGGCCGCCACCTCATAAACAGGCCAGGATCGCGTGTTCACTTTCATATAGATCGCGACTGTACGTTGCCTTGTCGACTGACGGCTACCAGACGAGCTACAACGAACGAAAAACTCGGCATGGGAGGAGTATAATTATAATGCAATTAAATGTAAAGGTGCAAGCGAGCTGGACAAGAATGACGAAAATAATCCCTGGAGAAGGGGAACAAGAAGGACAAGGGACAAACATAAATCTCCAAACACACCTAGGTGACCGGTGAGCGACCGAAAAAATCCGCCAGGTTCGGGTATCAAACCCGGGACCTCTCCATTACAGGTGGAGCGCTCTACCAACTCCATTACAGGTGGAGCGCTCCACCGGTCACCTAGCTTTGTTTGGAGATTTATGTTTGTTCTTTGTCCCTCTTGTTCCCCTTCTCCAGGGATTATTTTCGTCATTCTTGTCCAGCTCGCTTGCACCTTTGCATTTAATTGCATTATAATTATAACCTTAAAATTGCAAGCTTCACCCTTGTTGGTGTTAGACTGGTGGCGGCTGATAAAACCCGTTTGCTCTACTGACGTCTAACCCCTAGTCAGCTCAGTTGGTAGAGCGCTCCACCTGTAATGGAGAGGTCCCGGGCTCGATACCCGGACCAGGCGGATTTTTTCGGTCGCTCACCGGTCACCTAGCTGTGTTTGGAGATTTATGTTTGTCCTTTGTCCCTTTTGTTCCCCTTCTCCAGGGATTATTTTCGTCATGGGATTAGCTTCGGTTGTCCCGCCTCCAGCGCGAGCTACTCGGACAACGGAGTCTCGTGTACCAAAGCACGGTGCGCAACATTGAGCCCGTGCTGGAGGTCCGGCATTCGAAAGAGACGTCCTGCCCTTTTCATTCTGTCAGTGTTATAGCCGCCAAAGGAGTCCGCTGGGGCGGAGCTTCGTCGCAGACCTTCTCATCTTTTCGTTCCCTCTCATATGCGCAAAGACACGAGGTGCGATCTAAAAGTTCCGATTCTCATTTTGTAGAGAGAGCAGCACGGTGATCCGATCGCAGCAGTCGAAGGCAGGCGTTTCTCATTATGCAAAAGGACCTCGTTCTGTGAACATTCGGATCTGCCCTACGCGAGTTCTTGTCTGCAAACCAGAGCGACTGCGAACATCAATTCTACGTCAAAGTCGGCAAATCTAAAACGGAGGCGTTTTAAATAGCTTATGTCCAAATGCGGTGAATTGTGACAAGTATTTTGAGTGGCACTCGCGTTTCAAGAAGGGCAGACCACTGAAAGACAAGCAGGTAGTGGAACGTCACCGTAAAGCCCCTCGATGTGTTTGCGTTTGTCTCACAAGTCGTCAAATGCGCCAGTGTACGAGGCTCGTGTCTCGAGCGGCCCTTGGAAGCTAATGGCGGCGGAGCACCCGCTCGTGGCACGCGTCTTGCGCGTTTGCACAGCAACAGTTGACAGTAATTGTAAGCGTGAAGCTTATCGACGGACTTTAGGTCACCCTGCACGTCTCCGTCTTCTTTATTCTGCCATTTCGGAAGCGCCAGTTTCAGATTCGCTCGATGGACTTTTGAAGAGGGTGTATTACACCCTTTTCAAAAGTCCATCGAGCAACATTGGCAGTTGCCATTGCTTGGACACGATGCGCGTGATTGAACCCGAGTCCTCACCGAACGCTGACGTCAGGCGTCGTGTCCAGTACGAGCCGAGCCGAGTTCACGCCGAAGGCTGAAGCAGCCCTCATGTTTAATACGAGCCGAGCCGAGTTCACGCCGAAGGCTGTCGTAGCCCTCGCGTCCATTGCGCTCAGGCATTGTGAGCAACCAATGGCGGACGGGCGTTGGCGCGGAATTCTGAAAAGGGTCTAGCTCTGGTTTGTGGTCTGTGATGAAATCGCCTTTGTGTCCTTGCGCGTGCTTACAAGAACTCGTGTAGCGCAGCTCCGTTCCCAGAACGACGCCCTTTGGCACGATGAGACCCGAAGGTCCGTGCCTTCGACTGCTGCGCGCGCATCACTGTGCTGCCTCCTCTTTTTACGCTACAAAGTCGATCTGGGAACTTTTTGATCGCGCCTCGTTCTCTTCACTGTTTCGAGCCTCCCGTCGCAAGTGCGAAGGAACATGTTGCAGTTGACTTGCTCGCCGTATACTGTGGCCTAGAGGCGCCTATAAATGAGCTTATCTTTGTAGCAGCGTTGTTAGAATGACGGCGTGCCAGCCGAAGCTTGGGCTCGTAACCCGGCCCGCTAGATGGACTTTCATGCACAGATACAAGGAGCGACCAGGGGAATGCGATTGCAGTTACACATTTATTCTCCGTCGTCGACATATCCACAGCCATTAGGGTTCAGTTCACAAAAACACCGTTCAGTGAACATTCTAATGCGCCAAAGGAGAAATCACAAGTACCCTGGTTTTTTTTGACGAGCTGCGTGCGAGTGCGTGGGCGCGAGCACTTCACCTTAAGAAGTGCCTTTGTCGAACGAGCACTCCCACAATGGAAGAAAGTGCCACCTCTCCTCTCAGGATGCAGTACGTTGGGGAATTCATTCGTTGGGCTGCTTGTTGGGAGTGAAAATATCCCCGTGCAATGAATATTGGAGATGTGACACAGCGTCTGAAACGGCAATGTCTTCAAATTGTATTACGGCCATTTGCTCTGGATCCGAACGAAATAATAAACCACGATGTTTTTGAAATATATTCTAAAACCGTCTTTTCTATTCAAGTTTTGGTGGTTACCACCAAATCACCTACCAGAGTCAAATGTACCGAAGCAAACTTCGTTCACGAGGTTCACGTTAGTTGCCTCTGTGTTTTTAGCGAGGTGCCGCTTTATATATCATGCGATCAATTTAAATTACAATGAAATAACGCGTTGCTATAATGGTGGCGAAACAACGGTCAAGCCCACCGGTGCACGAGCCGGGAGACACTCTCATATCGCTAGGAGACCACTTCTTCAAAAGGATACCGAACCGAAATTTTGAGCTCACAAAACCAAGCTGGACGGATAGGCGGGACGCTGCAAAACCCCAAAACATCACTCATACAGCAATATATCTAATGGATGGCCGTATTTTTTTGTAAAAGAAGTGCGCGATTGAACACGGCCGACGAGTCCGACGAGAGAAGTGACGTCACGATTCTCATTCCCTCTTCTCTTCGCTTCGTCCCCTCGAGCAGGTGAACTGAAGCGAGGCCGCTTCCCCTCATTCTCAACTGTTTCAGGAGGATCATGACGTCACATTCCTCGCTTGATCGTGCCCTTCTTTTCCAAAAATACGGCCATGAATCCGTTTGAGATGTAGATGTATGAGTGATGTTTTGGAGTTCGTAGCGCCCCGTTCAACGCTTCTGCGGCCTTATTTTGCGAAATCCACATTTCGGTTCAGTATCCCTTTAAACACTAAAAAAATCAAGCCGGCCAAAGGCTAACGTCTGAATCACTGGTGCGTGTTTACCTAATCCCCCCCCCCCCCCCCCTTAACCCCCGTAAACCAGGTAATCGGATGTCAGTGAAAATGCACCGATCAAAGTGGGGAATTCGACCTGCTGACTAAAGGCTGGTTTGCACACGACAGCCAACGACCGTTTGCCTTAAAACCTCTTGAGACCTCTTCCGACGAGAGCTGACGAGAGAACGCACTGGCGCCATCTATTGGGTAACCGCGGAACACTTAGGATTTCCATATATTTCCTTCTTTTTTTTTTTCTCGCATCACTTTTTCTTGGTTCGGAAAACTTGACAACGTTATAAACGACCATTTCTCGTAGATAGAACGTACATTTGATTTCGCGAGTAGCACAAAACCTTCGCTCTCTTAAGGTGAAGTTCCAGGGCCACCTCGTAGATGGCGCCAGCGGGCGAGTGTGTCCTCTCGTCGTAGGAGATCACAGGAATTCGGATGCGTGAACGGGTCTTAACTCCCCCAGCTTTTGCGAACACGCTGCCCGGTCCCGTTCAGGGCGTCCGGCCTCTGGAGTGCCTCCGGGGCTGTGCCAGGTGCTTGCGGAGCTCCGGGGCCGCGCCGGCGGCGTCGCCGAGAAGCAGGTCCGGCCGTGCGCTGCTGCGACTCGACGACCGATTCACCTCGAACAGCTCGCGCTCGGCCGTGTCGCGCATCTGCAGGATCCGCCGACTCAGCACCAGCACCAGGTCCTGCGCGACCCGCGACGCCACATCACGGGGCTTTAACCACGCGATGCCCGAGGAAACGTCGAACGGAGACGAAAAAAATGTACGGAGGCCTGAAACTCAGCTACGTTGTTGATTGTGTTCAAACTAGCCACCACCGAGGAACGAGATAAACTAACGGAGTTGTATTCGAACGCCGTGGCCGAGTTCCGAATCTGTTTTGAGTTTTGTTCAGCGAAGACCACCAAAAAGCGTTGTTGATTCGGTAAACCAGTTTCCACCAATACCGGAAACAAATCGGGCAGACTGCGAACTTAAATCTTGCTGCGGAGTAGCCCACTAGGAGAACTATTCCAGGCAAGCCCCTCCATATTTCCATTATCTCTCTTTCACTTATTCACTTAAATCTCTCGTCAGCCCAATACAATAGATTGCGTTTATTTGCTCATTAATTCATAAAAAGGGACACCGGGAAAAAAAAGCTGTAAAAGAGTTTGAACCGTTTTGTTCTTAGCCCGAGACTGAGGCAGGAAAAGAGGAAAATTTCAAAGTATATATATAGTATATAGTAGAAAAATAAACAGTCTCTGTTTGAATGTTTAAAACATGCAAATAGAGACGTGTCCTCGACTGTTCATTTTTCTTCTACTTTGAAACTTTCCACTTTTCCTGCTTCAGTCTCGGTCCAAGAACAAAATGGTTAACATCCACCAGCTCGCCTGCGCACTCACAACATTATCGCTGTAAAAGAGTTTGAGGGGCCCCCGACCCCTCTAATGGCTCACAAACAGCAACTCGAGAAACAATAGAAATTTCCTTCGATTTCCAATTCGACTAGAACTGCGGAATGTATTGATGTAAATAGAGTTCAAGAGTCATGCCCATATATGAAAGGTCACCTGATGCTGAAAATAACGAGACCGGCATGGGACCGAGTCGTTTTTTAAAAAAAGTTATTAGCGAAAAGACTTTTATAGTGTCAACTTTAAAATCATTGGCCACAATTGGTGCAAGCCGATACCTGAATGGCGAAAACATTCGTTTACTCATGGTGTTTTGCAAAGCCTGCACGTACCCTCATGCCCAACACTCTTAAAAACAATTATTGCAGGTCTTTGTTATTTGTTCATTAGGTTAGGAAGAGTCGGGGAGCAGTTCTGGCCAAGTGAAAGGCGTGCTCCGTAGCCTCTTACCTGGTAGGACATTTGCCCTTCTTTGTCTGCGGTTCCCTCGAAGTCCCAGGTCTGGAAAAGGAGAGATACTTTCTAAAGAATGTTTGCGGGCGAATAAGGCGCACAAATCGGCAACAACTGTTAGAAAAAATTGCGTGAAAGCCATTGGAAAGCGGGCCGGGCCGGGCCGGAGGTTTCTGGAGAACGTCATGTGTTATCTGCTGATTGTGGGAGAATGGAGGAGGGGGGGGGGGGGAGGATCGAAGTTAATGTTAAAGTAAAGAAACTAACAAATAAAGCTGGGGCGGTGGTAATGAATATATGTATATACAAGGCGTTCTTTGTAGGTACTATAGTGCACTAAATGTGCCTCTGATTTGTTGAGACGACATCATCAAAAGTCTTTTGCGTTCAACCCGCTATAAATGGATGAAAGTTTGCCCTGAAGCCTCCATAAAAAAAAAAAGGACCAATTTGAAAGGTTGATGTAGAGACGCAAACTAATTCCACTGGTACTGACATAGAATCTGTTGTGTGTTGTTTCGAACAACAGCCCAGGACTCAAAGGACCACTCTCGCCCGCGCAATCGTTAAACCTCTTCTGGACCACGATCAAATGTCTATTAACTTTCAAACCTCCCTCCAGACTCATGTGCACTGTTACTAAATGTAATAAAGGAAGAAAAAAAAATCATGAGCCCTTCCACTATGCGAAGGTGGATGATCAGCGAATTTTTTGAGCGCACGGCATAGAGTCACCCGAGGAGCCGAAGGAAACTAGACACGCGCGACGGAACCGCTACCCGGTGGAAAGCAGACACGCGCGACAGGACCGCTACCCCGGGAGAGCAGAAGGTAAGGAAACTAAGCACGCAAGCCGGGGGGAGGGGGGGGGGGGGACGACGACAAAGAGAGGGCGGTGCGAGCGTAGACACGGCCGACGCGGGTCACACAGCGGCAATTTTTTTAGAAACCTTTATAATCTACCTGAGAGTCTACTGATCTTGAAAATGGTGCCTATTGATAGCTAATCTACTGAAAATGCATATCCAAGTGATGAGACCTAGAAGCTTTTGCATAAAATGAAGTGAATTTGCACCAAATTCGGGACGTGACTTTTTATTGACGCACACAGGAAATCCACGGAACCCTAGCCATAAACAACTTCGCTGTTAAAAAAAAAAAGAAAAAAAAAAAAACGATTGTTTTTGTATGTTTCCGGGCTAGCCCAGCTGTCAGCGTCCGATCCGCAACGTAGGGGTAACGGTTTTGATCCCCAGCAAACGTTTCTTGCTTTTTTTTTTTTTTTGTTTTTCGTTTTTTTTTTTTTTTTTTGTGAATTTTGTGTGACGGTCATCTCCTTCCCCGAATGATGTACTTCCGTTTAAGAAAATTCCATAGGAGCTTGCCATAAAACACGTTCGGGCCGGGCTCGAGTCGGGCTCATATTAAAGGAGCGATGCAACAATTTTTGTACTGTGCACAAATACCGCTTAAATCGGATCCCTAACGTTAATGACCTATGAAACACGCGTTCGTTTTTCACCCCACGCAATAGAAGTCCCAGAAAAAAATTTAAGAAAAGCGAGCGGCGTTCACCCCCTCAACTCGCAGCCAGAACAAGCGGCCACGTGATCTGGAGCCGATTATATGCCGCCAGTGTTGATCATAGCCACGCGCAGGGGTTGGCAAAGCGCAGGACACGCGCTGAGTTCCAGACATTGTTATGGCTCGGCTGTTGTCGTCGTTGCAGCGATTGGACACGGGTCACAACCCGAATGCTTCTCGAGCTAGCAATTGTCACGAGCCCAAGTCGAGTGCCCACGCAATGCTCGGGTCCAATCTATGAACCGCATTCAAATATCGTCACTTGGGTGTACTGGGATCCCCGAGTTACGTCATCAAATTTTGCAAAGGAGAGATTGAATGAAAATGATCGCTTTTGTCCTTGAAATTACACCGCAACAAAGGAGTTTCTTGGCCAATGGTGTTGCGTGTGAGTATCCTTGAGTCCGAGGTGTGCCAGTAAGCTAGTGTAGAGAGAAAAACATTCCAATTGAATATCGTTGCACAGCTCCTTTAAAAATAACAGTCGAGACCAGGCCGGGTGCGGGTCGATAGACTTATCGGTCGAGCTCTAGCCGACGTTCACAAAACATAGTCAGACTGTGGCCGGGTTTGGGTAAGAACTTATCGGGCTTGGTGGGGTTACGATTTAAAATTCCGACCCGATCTGATCTCTACGCTGAAGCCAACGTTACTAGAACAACTCAGTTAGGAAACTGCCATAGAGCCTGCTTTAAAAAAGTGGCTGGCTCAAGCATTTAAATCATTTTAAAGAACATTAGGGCATTAGTGACTGCCCTACACTTTGCCGTACTTCGTGCATATGAAGAGCATCCACACTAAATCCGAGACAAAGACAAAAAAACAAAAAAACAAAAAGTTGTTTTGCTGTTATTTCGACGTAGAACTGCGTCTTTTTCCGCGATTGGAAGGCGGTGCAAAGCTGGGAGGTCGATGTCACGAAAACTTTGTCACGGAAATGACGTCGCACAAATAACACCGGAGCTGCTGCCCAGCAGTGCGCACGGGCGTCCTTCCTTATCTGCTGGCTTGCTCGTTTGCTCACCTTAACCCGACGCGTTCCTCTCTGATTGAGACGGCGATAGACGCCGCTCCGACAGCCGAGATTCTGACGCCCCTTCATGTTTAAAAGTATAGTGCAAGGTGCGTCGACGCACGAGACACATGCAACGTGCATTTCCTGGGAAGGTCATCGCGGCACAGCGCCGCGCTGACCCAGCTTTCAGACACCATGTTCTTCCCAGAAGTATCGCGAGGCACGTGTTTTCAGCATTTGCACAACAATGAGTAGCGCCACTTTTCCAAGGATAGAAGGGATTTACGGGATTCCACGCTCTTTGCCCATCGCTCTGGACAGCGGCCGAGCGGCCGATGTCGCGTGCTCTGCGGCACGGGCAGTTCACGCGACTCTCGCGCGCGACTCGACGAAGCCTTAAAAACAATCGCACGACATTCCTCACATGCGTCCCCGAAATAGCGGCGCGGAAGGCTGCACATTTGCAGAGCACATTTGCCTCGATACCGGTCACCAAGCCACAGGCATTCTTTTCTTGCGTACCTGACATTGTCATGCGGCAGGTGCCCGTGGACGTTTTTAAAGCGCAGCTCTTAGGCGCCCGTTTCCGGCTTGAGCGGCGTCGGCGTAACCGCGAGGTCACGTGACCCCCCCAAGGTCACCCCAAGGTTGCGTGACTCCCCAAGTCACGTGACCCCCCCGAGGTCATGTGACCCCTCCAGGGTCACGTGACACCCCTCCCTCCGAGGTCATGTGACCCCCCTCCCTGAGGTCACGTGACCCCCTCCCCCCCGATGTCACGTGACACCCTCCCCCAGGTCAGGTGACCCCCCCCGGAGCATATTCGAGAATGAGGGGAGGAGGAGGGGTCTACTCTCCCCTCAGTACCCTTCCCTCCTCCTCAAGAGCTGCGCTCCTATTCGGCGTTACAGGGAGTTGTAAACGGCTTTCACTTTTTCAGCTGCGGCCGTAGTTCTACGGACGTTTATGCAGCATAGTAACCCTATGCACCGACCAATTTGTTTATCATTTCTTCGTCTCGGGTTTGCTATGAATACCATTCACCAGTTCGTCTGCGTTTTTTCCTATATGGAGAGCCCTTGTCAATCAAACACGCATAAAAAAAGAGGACCAAATGAAGCGCACTTGAGGGTAGCAGGAGGATCCCTTCTGGCCCTTGGAGCACCGCCAGGAGACGATGAGGCGCAGGCAGCCCGCAGTCGGGAACAGGTTGAATGGGGGAGGCACTCCGGCCTGGATGTCCAGGTAGGAGATCCACTGAGAGGACCGCGCGAAGATCCACTCCACGTACGCGTTGCCCTGCGTACCGATGTGAAGACGCGCGACATGTCGACACACCAGACGTAGAAATGGTGGCGTGACAGGTCTTCCTATGGGTAACAAGAAGATCTCGCACATAGATATCGTTAACCCGAATTTCAGATTGGCAGCGCACATGACAGCCGCACATCACGCTAGTTTCTTTTCTTTTCAACGTTCCTCAAGCGCGAATGAAGTGGACGTCTGATGAAAATAAACCCTGGAGAAGGGGAACACGGGGGACAAAGTACAAACAGAAATTTCAAAACACGGCTAGGTGACTGGCTCGCAACCGAAAAAAAAATGTGCCTGGTTCTGGTATGGAAGCTGGGACCTCTCCATTTTCAGTGGAGCACTCTACCAACTGAGCTAACCAGGAGTTGAATTGTCAGAGCCAAATTATCCGTATGACATGAAATCACCCTGGTGACATTTTAACCTTCCAGGCTTCTCAACCACAGTGTCTACTTGGATGAGTTCCAGAAGCCCAGCTGACACAGGCTCTTACAGTGTCCGCGTCTAGAACCTCCGAAGCTGTGACGAAGTGGAAACTTGATGTAGTTGCTATCCACGGTGATCTTCTTACTGCGCCATTTGTGCCAAAGTGCTTACCCTGCTACATCCTGCTACATTTTGCAAGATATGAATTTGTGCCAGCATTGCGCCAAAATGTAATTACACTTTATTAATAGTTAAAACATACTAGCTTGAACACCGCTGCACGGCCGGATTGTTCAAAGCTGTAGGTTATCGCCTCAAATAACCTACTATATTTGATTTTATCTTTTTATCAAACACTGACGACAGCACTCTGGCTGAGTATTAGCTCTCTTGAGTGCGCTTCTCATCGTGCCTTGACGCACTGCAGTGAAGTGACCACCGCGGAGTAGGCGTCGCAATTTCGCTTATCTTGCTTCGACGCAGCGCACCCTTCTGCTAAAAACTAGAGCGTTGAGCCAACTAGAAAGGAAAAAGAAGTGTCTGTGTGTGTTTGGGTATGTGTGTGCGCGCGGGGGTGGGGGGAGGGGGGGGGGGGGCGGGGCACTTGATGAGTGCTGATGAAACAATTGAACCGTGCAGTAATTTCTGTAATAAAACTGCAACTAGTACACATTACACACCAACTCACTTGCGCCCTTACGTTCTTCTAATATACAAAACTGTTCTCTGCTTTTTTTTCTTTGCAAAATAAAATAAAATAAAAAAAACCTTCCCAGTGTGAAAGAACCTTTCCAGTTTGTGCTATCGGCCCCCACGCTCAAATGAGTTTGAGACCACTGTGATATACCGTAATACTGTGGCATTTCATATTTTTAGATACGAGATTTAGAAACTATACTTAGGTGTTGCGAGAAGATTTATATGAACTGGTTTATGGGTTAATTTGTTTACGTAAACCCTGTTTAGTTATCAGCTTCATATAGGTTCCATCTCTTGGATGTCAGTCAATAGAGTAAATTAATATTACATTAGCTGGAGCAGTGGATGGAAGCTTGGGAATAGCCTTAACGAGTTCGGCTGGATTGTTTTTGGAGCGCAGCTCTTGGGCGCCCGTTTCCGGCTTGAGCGGCGTCGGCGTAACCGCGCGTTGTATTATGGTCACGAGGATCACGATTGACGTCACTCGTAACCGCGTGTTGCATTGTGGGACGTTCCCATAACGACGTCACACGTGACGTCACGAGGGTCACTAGGGTCACAAGTGATGTCACGAGTGACGTCACGAAGGTCACTCGTGAAGGTCACGACATTTACATTGAAGGTCACTATCTTCACAGTGAAGGTCACGACCTTCAATTGACCTTCACTCGTGACCTTTACGTGAAGGTTACGACCTTCACGAGGGTCACTAGAATCACGAGTGACGTCACGAGTGAGAAGGAGGGAGGGAGGGGGAAGGGAGGAGGAGAAGGAGAGCAGGAGGGAGGAAGAACAGAGAAAAAGGAGGGTACGGAGATGGAGGAGCATACCCTCCTCTCCGTACCATCCCCTCCTCCTCAAGAGCTGCGTTTTAAATCGGCATTACAGGGAGTTGTAAACGTCTTTCATTTTTTTAAAAGAGTCATAGTTATCGTTCGTATGCTAATATTTGTCACTATGAAGTTTTACATATAAAAAGTCATTGATGTTCACAATCAAATGACAAACGCTTTGTTTATATGAATTAGGAATGATAGTTTTATTGAAACCTTTACAACTTAAATGAAAAATAAATGTGGGTGTTCAAAATTATTCTATTCTAATAATATTTCAGTAGAGTATACCATTTGGTCTATCTTTGGTTTCGTACCTAAAATAACAATTCAAAGCAGTTCATACTATCCTTTATAAATCAGAATATTGTTGCCGTGTCAGCTGCTCCTACGCGGAACTGAACAACTACTTTTGTGTTAGAGGGAATCAAGCCTGCCGTGTAAATTATGCTAACAAAAGGCTGCACACGAGTGAGTAGGCAAATATACATTGTCTCGTATAGTTAGGCTAAAACACGAACCTTAAAATTATATACGCATTAATATGAACGATAATGACGTGCGTGCTTAAGCTCTAAATATTATTTTTGCCGCACAAAAAGTGCTGCAAAACGACTCGGACCAATCGCATCACTGTATCTATCTATCAGGTCGCAAAGGGGTTGAACAAGGTGTAGCCATTGCCAGCGCCTAGTTTTCAAACCATAGATTAAAACTTGCGATGAAACTTTAGTTCGACAAATAACGAATAAACGCTCTCTTTTTTTTTTCTGGTTTATTTTGCGACGACAGTTTTCACGGATAGGTATCCGTCTTACCTCGACCCTTTGAAAAGTGTTGGTCATCATGGCAATGAGGACGTTGAGCAGGACGACGACGGTGATCACGTGGTACAGGCCCCAGAGCGAGTAGCCCACGAACTCGGTGAGGTCGTGCGTGACCAGCTTGCCGCCTCCCCTGGCGTCCCCCGGCACCACGACGTCCGCGTACTCCGGCTGGCCCAGCTCGTACACGGCCCAGAAGAGGTACTTGAGGGTGCGCCCCAGTCTGCGAGCGCCAAGAACTCGAGCTCGGTGCGTCGGTCTCTCGCGGCCGGAACTAAACTCGTTGCGGGTGTTGTTTTAAGCCGCGGTCAGACAGGTACAACAGCGTACGTAGTCTGTAGACACCGTCAGAGGCGTTCCTTGTATGATGGTTACATGCACCGTCCGCAGACATACGATCGAAGCAAAAATATATGTACGGAGAACGCGCTTGGGGCGTGTGCGGACACGCAGCCAACACCGGGTCTTTTCCGTGATGTAGCAGCAGTAGGGAGTTTTAGCCAACCGTTTTGGCACTTCCGATACGGTACGATGGGCCCTCCGGTGCTAACTGCGCATGTGCGAGTCTTTTGCGGTAACACGCGCGCAGTTCGCACCGGAGCCCCCATCGTACCTTGTCGGATGTGCAAAAACGGTTCCCTAAAACTCCCTAGTGTGGCTTTACAGTGGTAGTTGTGAACAGCAAAGGGTACCGACCCCGACTATCATACTCGAGAGGTAGCGCCCGTAAGCGACCTTCACCTATCTCCTAAAGCTCATTCCCTAAAACTATTTTACTCCATTGAAAGCTCGTAAAGCACACATATCCTAAAGCACCTCGACTAAAAGCGAACCTTCGAAAGCAGATCTTTCAACCACGCAACAGATGCCGCTGTCATTCGCAGCGCACTATGGGGAGTCGTTTCCAAATTTTGTTTCAATAAACTTTGGCTGATGACACTATTATTGTGCATGGAAAAGTACGACTCTCGAAAAGTCTTCTTTTGAATCCTCGGCCTGTGAGTTGGACGCGAGGGTATACCGAATATCACGAAAGGGGTATTACGTAGTCTCTTACCGGCGCATACTTGACCCTAATTGCTCGCAGTTTTGGCTTCGCTCGCACCTACAGCGAAACCAAGTATGTGCATATTAGTTTGTGCTCCTCCCATGTCTCGGGCGCCAAGTACCCCGAGGCTTATGGCAAAATCGGCTGGTGGATTTTGGAGTACATTCAAATGTTTGCATGGGCGTACCAACCGGGGGGGGGGGGGGGGGGGGGGGGGGAGAGGCAAGGCATATGTCTTGCCCCCCCCCCCCCCCCCCCCTGAAACAGCCGCAACAGGGCAGGGCACACACTGGCCGGCGGCTCATTCGTAGTGACTGTTCCCATTTGGTACCCGAGTCTGACGAGCTTCAGTGTTACATTATTTATCTTATTAACATCTTGACCGCTACATTGAGGCGATTAAAGACGGCTCATTGCTTTGAATTTCATTCACACAGACCCACACAGGCAAACACTCATATGCGTGCATACAACGGCTTTTGATAAGGACACCAGCGGACACTCTCCCCCTCCCCCACACACACACGCACACACAGAAAAAAGTTATTTTAATGTTAAAATTGCACGTTTAAATTCTTCTTCAATATATGTGTGTATAAAATAATAAATGGAGATCTTAGCCATTCTAAGGCGTGACCGGCTATTCCATTACCATCGAAGAAAATATTTCCGACATACAAATTAAACACTTCAAACATATTGATGCAAATACACTTTGGCGTAACCCCCCCCCCCCCCAAAAAAAACAAAAAAACACGCACACACACACATACACACATCTAAAACGTCTTCTAAACATTTAATTTAGTTGCCGCGTTGATAAAACAGTGCGCAAATAAAAATGCACATACATTTAAAATGTAAAATTAAAGGAAATCTTTCCAGTGATATGACGTACTCCATTCATGCGCTACTGATTCGTGTCCCCAGGGAAAGTGCAAAATGAATTAGAAATAAAATGTTGAAGGCGCAGGCGATCTAGTGTAAATTTACCATTTTCTTTAAACACCTCAGAATGGGTGAAGAGCCTGAAGGAACCAAAGTGGAAGTGGAAGGGACAGGGCACGTCCTTTTCCTGTTCCTTTCACTTTGGTTTCTTCACGTTCTTCACCCAATTTCAAGTGTTTAAAGAAAGTGAAATATTGGCTACTCATCTATTGGTGACTACATATTATGTAAGAATTAAACACTTTGATGAGCTGTTTCCCAAAATATTGTTAATGCAATAAATAAGCTTTTACTTATTTGGCCGATGCGCCATGGTATCTGAACGGCACAGTTTCAACAGGCTTACGTAGTGAAGTTGGGCGGCTGATGCTTGGTGGTGCCATTCGTCAGGATGGCCTCGTTGCCCTTATAGTTTTTGTAGATGGAGCTGATGCCGGTGGCGAAGGCGAAGAACACGATGCAGAGGATGAGGAGAAACCGGACGACGTCGCCCAACATGTAACGCAGGGACACGGTCAGGGGTCCCAGGGACTGGTGCATCTGGCACCAGAGCAACAGCCGGCAGAAGGCCAGCACCGTGGCCATGGCGTGCAGGGACTCACCTAGGGAGATCGAGCCTCGCAGTTCTTAAGATCCTCGAGTGCCCGCTCATGGCAGAAATGATAAGATGGCTCTTCAGAAACCGCTGAAGATAGCGACCGAAATTCTTCTCTGGCGATTCCTTAGCGTTCCAAGTAAGTTCCGCGAGAGCCAATGAAACCTTCTTTGCATCCTTTCTGAATCGGCATCTTATAAAAGTATTTCGTACTTAGCTGCTTGCACGCGTCTCTAAGTACCCTATTGAAAAATTTAATTTCAGTGAGACATTTTTGTGTCCAATAAATACATATGAATGATACAAGAAATATAAGAACATATGAGAACCATATAAGTCCTATATAAAAATTATATAAGATATATAATAACATATAAGAACCATATAAGAAACTTGTGAAAAGTTTCTTATAACTTTCTTATATGATTCTTATATTTTCTTATGTATCTTGTGTGATTCATTTGTGTTTATTGACACAAGGAATTTCTCATACAAATGGCTCTTTCACTAGGGTAGGTCTTGTAATATTTGTTTAACTTCGTATCTTAAATTGACATATACAATCTAATGGTCGTTTTGGAGCGCGCCTATTTCACTGGGCGATCGGGATCGAGACGGACGAATTCAACTCGTCGTTTTGGATGAGCTCCCACTCCAGATCTGGATCCGGACCTGAGAAAAATCGCTCTGTTAATTTCGGTTGATTGGACCGGGGGCCAGCTTGTACAGCCCTCGGCTCGTACATGAGACTACCTTTCTCGCCGGGCATCTCGCCTAAGAAGCATTTGTAATGGCCGTTCGCGAAGTGCCGCCCGCTTTACTGCTGCTGCTACTTGATGACGGTTCGTCGTCAAGTTGCTCGAGCAGCTCCTCCAGCAGCAGCGGCTCGAGTAGTAGCGACGACGAGGATTGCTTGTGTGTCCCTCATGAATTCGACTACCTTTTCGAACCTCCGCAGAAGAGGCCGAAAATTGAGACGCACTTGGACACCGTTGACGAGTATTCCGATGAATAGGTACGGGGGCTACGCTGATGTACAACGCTTTTCGACACGCATCTTTCACATCGTGATTAGCTTCGCTCATGCTTTGAACACGTGTAGTTAGCGCCGCGAAAGCGAAAACACGTGCTTCGAGTTCTGGGGCCCGAGAAGATGAATGACTGGAAGGCATCCGCCGATCCCGGGGGAGTGGTCATGTTCCACTCAAGATCCGGAGGCGGAGCGACTCCGTTCACATCGTGTGTTCCATCTCGAACCTGGTCTACTGATCCCAGCGCGCTCCAAAATTACCAGTGAAATTCGCCATAAGAAATTCATTACTGTCCTAAACCACTTAGGAGAACGAAACATTGCAATTTACGGAGGAATCTCGGCGAATGACGAGACAGAGAATATGTTTAGGCCTATGACAACAGTCTACTTTATGGCATTGAACATGATGTTTCACGTGTTTAGGTCGAAACATATTTTCTGCCTTGCCATTCCCCAGCACAAAAGCGGCTACGTCTTAAATATGCTAGAAATTCAGTAGAATGCATTCTATCTGCGAGAGTCCACCCACCGATGAGGTACGGATGGTACCATGGCCACACGTCCCGATGCAGGTTCTCTTGCAGTGTCCTAGCGGTCACGAATACGATGAACCAGAGGATCTCGGCCACGAGAAAGAGGCCGTACATGAGGACGTCGTAAACGGCCCACCAGGACCTGAGGAAGACCCTCGGGCCCAGTGCCCATCCGCTCTGCGCCAGCTCCCAGACGTAACCGACCACCCAGATGCCGACCAGGATTTCGGACCAGAGGACCCTCAATTTGAGGCTGTCCCTCCGGCCGTAGAAGAGCGACATGGTCAGCAGCACCAGGAAGGTTGCGTACGACGCGCAGCTGTGGATGAACCTATTCAGGGGCACTCGGAGCGGCTTGAGCAGCCGCGGCTGCGGTGTGAAAAGGTAGAGCAAGCAGAGGAACGGCATCTGCAGCGCCTGCCAGGTCACGTGAACTGCTTTCCGGGTGGTTGTCCAGCCAGGCCAGGCGGGAAGGCCATTGTACCAGAGGGAACGCAGGACCTGCTGGCAGTTGGCGTGGCCGACAAACTGCCAGACATATATGTTTGAAGCTAAGGTTTTACATTATTACCGAAAATAAATATAATTTTAGATTTCAAAGCTTTCGTAAAACATTGGAATTCCTGACACATTTTTTTATTCCCAGAATTTCTAAATATGACATTGAGTTAGATTTATTTCGTGACTTCTGTCCTGTGTAGTGCACCTGACCTTCTGAGTGGTTCTGCAAATGTCGCTCAGAACTCTACAAAAATTACTGTGTGGACATTAATAAGCAAAATAACACACAAAGTATCCATGTTATTGCATTTTTTGCGCTGATACCGAGCCGTCGTAATTTCAGCTGAAGATATCTGTGGTACATAACTGCCCTTTTGTCAGCCTCGTCGAACAGAAGTCATCTCTTGCAAGGTTGAACTCACGTCCTTCTGGTCGAGCAGGATGGCCAGGGAGAGTCTGGGAAAGCGGAACGGTCTGGTGGTAGGAAAGCCTCCGGTCTGGGAGAGCAGCGTCTCCACTTCCTCGCTGTTCTTGCACGCGCCCATGATGGCCGCCGCGAACTGGGAGCACTGGGCCTCCATCTCCCGGTATTCGTTCTGTGAGTCGGGACAAAGTCTGTTTTGCGCATGCGTCGTGCCACAGCCAGCGCCATCGCCTTAGCATGACGTCATGGGCTTCAGTGCATACATACCACGCAGATTTCCGTGTTGGCGATGGATGGATGGATGGATGGATGAATACGGCTGAGCCCTTTGGATCGGGCGGTAGCTTACGCCACCTAGCCATTTTGTTTTACCATTTAAGCTTAGAATATTTAACTGTGAAATCTATATTCACTCCGCAGTGCAAAGAAAGTGAGGCTATGAAACCCCCTTGCCATCAGTGATTAAGAAAATACCTAGTTTTCTCTCGATTTCTGCCACCATTCACTTAATCTTTGCTTGGTAATCTCTACAGTCTTGAAATCCACTCTCCCTTCGCTGTCTCTAAAACCCAATGACTTTATTAAATCTATGTTGTCTTCGGTAGGCATAGGGTGAAGCCCTTTACAGTAGAGTATCAAGTGCTCAGCCGTCTCGTCCTCCTCTCCACAAGCAGTGCACACTGTATCAATTTCCTGGTACTTCACTCTGTATGTTCTGGTTCGCAGAACACCCGTTCTTGCCTCAAACAGCAATGAGCTTCCCCTAGAATTGTCATAAATGCTTTCTTTGGCAATAACTCTTTTGTTTAATCTATAGCTTTCCAGAGCAGTCTTTGTCTGCATTCCCTCTAGCCACCGATCTCTTTCTGTGGCCTTAACTTTCTTCTTAACTGAGACTTGCTCTTCCGTATCTTCGCTATAGCCCAAAAACCTTCTTCTTAATTTCCTAGTGCGCTGTCTCCACTTTGTGTCTACACTCCTCATGTATAAATAGCTGAAAACCTTTCGTGCCCATTGCTCCCCATCCATTAGCCTCAACCTATCCTCAAATTCTACCTTGCTCACCGCTTCCCTGCTCTCAAATGATGCCCATCCCATGTCTCCTTGTACTCCCTGGTTTGGCGTTTTGCAATGCGCCCCCAAAGCCAGTCTACCTACTCCGCGCTGTTTTATTTCTAGTTTCGCATGCACTTCGGATTTCATGCATAGCACTGCGTTTCCAAAAGTCAAGCCAGGCACCATGACCCCTTTCCAAATCTCTCTCACCACCTCATACCTGTTGTAATTCCAAAGTGCTCTATTTTTCATTACAGCTGCATTTCTGTTGTCCTTACCTATTATATACTTTTCATGGTCTCTGAGATATTCTGCACCATCACATATCCATACTCCTAGATACTTGTATTTACTAGCTCTCTCAACTGTAATATTCTGTATCTTCAGCCTCTCAACTTCATCCTCGTTAAAAATCATGACTGCCGATTTTTCGCTACTGAATTCTAAACCTAATTCCTCTCCTTCCCTACCACAGATGCTCATTAATTCCTGCAACTCTGCCCTGTTGTTAGCCATTAGTACAATATCGTCCGCATACATCAATCCCGGTAAGGATTGCTGAATTTTTTGGCCTAGCTTACTGTAAGAAAGGTTGAACCCAAGCCCACTCTTCTCTAGTCTATCCTCCAATCCTCTCAGATACAACATAAACAGCAAAGGCGATAACGGGCACCCCTGCCTAAGGCCTCGTCTTATCTCTATTTTCCCTGTCGCCTTTCCTTCCCATGTTATAATCACCTTGTTATCTTTGTAAATGTTCCTTAATAGTGCTGTTAGTCCTTCATCTAGGTTTAAGTTCTCCATTATGTCCCACAGGTTTCTTTGGTTCACATTGTCATAGGCACCCTTGATATCCAGAAATGCCAGCCAGAGCTGTCTGTTTTCTTTTTGCGCTATTTCTATACACTGTGTTAGAGAAAATAAGTTGTCCTCCAACCTTCTTTGTTTTCGAAACCCGTTCTGTAACTCGCCCAGTATGCCCTCGCAATCTACCCATTCCTCCAGTCTGTTCTTTATAATCTGCATTACCAACCTGTAAATAACCGGTGTCACGGTTATAGGACGATAATTCCTAATATCAGACTTATCTCCCTTTCCCTTATATATCATACTCATCCTACTAAGCCTCCATTCATCTGGAATATTTCCTTTTGTTATCATGGTACTCACTACCTCCCTTAGTTTTGCCTTAGATTTAGGACCCAAATTCTTCACCAGCTTGATAGGGATACCATCTGTGCCTGTCGACGTGCCACTAGGGACTCTTCGTTCCGCCTTTTCCCATTCTCTTTGTCCAAAATCCGCGATGTCACAAACTGGACTGCTACTTCCTTCGGTTCTCCTATCTTCCACATGTACCCGTTCCCGAAATTTCTCCTCCATCACTGCTCCTATATATTGTATCGCATCATCTCCCTCTAATTGATCTCCCTGATGCGAGAGTATAAACCTCTGTCTAGCTTGCGTTGTTTCACCGAGTGAGTTCAAGTGCTCCCAAAACTTCTTGGCAGCATTTCTATCTTTCTTACTTACATTACTCATCCATTCCTCACCCTTTCTCTGAATTTTCGCATTGATCAAACTGGATGCCTCTCGGCGACATGTTACAAAATTGTCCCATTTTCTTTTTACTTCCGTTTCGGACTCCCCACTACGCTTGGAATACCTGTGTTCTCTAGAGGCTTCCTGACGTTTTTGTATCGCTTGCTTCACTTCTTTGTCCCACCAACTTTTTGGTCTATGTCCTTGCTTCCCCTTTCGTTTACTCTTAACTTTGTCTAGTTCTAGAGAAAAAAGCCTAGTTAGGCTCTCATAGGTCCAATCTGTATGCCGTTGCCCTGAAACTGCTGCCTCTATTCTTTCAACAACTATTTCCAACTCTTTGTCGCTGCAGAAAGTTTGCTTTGAATTATGTTGTCTAGTTTCAGCATTTACTTCTCTGGCAAAATTCAGCTTAATACGTTTGTGATCACTACCAAGACTTTTGGAACCTTCTTCATCTATTTTCATTACTTGTAACTTACCATATATTTTGTGTGACATGAGTACGTAATCTATAGTTGAATGCAGATTGCCAGTTTCCCAAGTTATGTGCCCGTCACACTTCTGACTGGTATTACATAAAACTAAGTCATGTTTTTCCACCAGTTCTAGTAATATGCTTCCAGTTGAGTCCGTATACCCATCCAGACCCTCAATATGGGCATTCATGTCTCCCATAATAATCATTTCGGAGCCTTCCCCTAGTTCACTAATGTCTCTTGATATGCAATCAATCATTTTTCTGTTTTCCTCTTTAGCACCTGTCCCTGTCCATAAGTAAACCACTCCAAGGACTGTTGATTCCCCAGCGACTTTTCCTTTCAGCCACAAATGTTCGGCGCACTCCTTTCTGATCCTTTGAAAGTTCATATTCTTCTTAATGAATGCTCCAATTCCACCTCCCTTCCTCGTTCCCTCCATTCTGTTGCATTCTTCCCACACATAGTCAGGGTTGCAAGGTGGCTGCTCCATGTCTCTGAGATGTGTTTCCACAAACCCATACACCATTAAATCCTCCTTTCTTAGTTGCTCCTCTACCTCTTCCCATTTTAACCTATTTCTACCACCCTGCATGTTAATATATCCAATGTCTGATTGTGCTGATTTTTTATACCTGTTCTTACGTTTTCTCCTCTTTTAGAGCGCAGCTCTTAGGGGCCCGTTCCCGGCTTGAGCGGCGTCGCCGTTGGCGTCGCCGTCGGCGTCACCAAGGTCATCCCAAGGTCACGTGACCCCTCCCAAGGTCATCTCAAGGTCACGTGACCCCACGTGACCCCCTGAAGGTCACGTGACCCCTTCCAAGGTCATCTCAAGGTCACGTGACCCCAAGATGACCCCACGTGACCCTTTGAAGGTCACGTGACCCCCAAGTCACGTGACCCCTCTGAGGTCACGTGACCCCTTCCAAGGTCATCTCAAGGTAACGTGACCCCTCTGAGGTCACGTGACCCCCCGAGGTCACGTGACCCCCAAGGTCACGTGGGGGTCACCTTTGGGGTCACGTGGCCTTGAGGTCACCCCCAGGTCACGCCTCCCCGAGGTCACGTGACCCCCTCCCCGAAGTCACGTGACACCCCCCCCGGAGCATATTAAAGAATGAGGGGAGGAGGAGGAGAAGGGGGAGGGGTCTACCCTCCCCTCAGTACCCTTCACTCCTCTTCCTCAAGAGGTGCGCTCCAATTCGGCGTTACAGGGATTTGTAAACGGCTTTCACTTTTTTTAACCCTGGGTGCCTCTCCTGACTTTGTTGGGTTTTCAGTTACTTCAGTGCCCCCAGGGAACTCGGTCCCCCCAAAAAAGCAGTCACCGTGCGGCCCATCCTATCCCCCACCCTGTAACCCGTGGCCTCACTGTAGTGAATGCCATCTGCAAAAGGGCGGGAGCCAGCCTCGTACACTTCTCTGTTTACTTCCATTACGTCGTACCGAAGCTGTCGACTCATACCCTTAATTACTCCGTTGGCTTCGACAACCCTCCTCTCCGTTAACCCGGACTGCCCCCGAACTTCTGGAATGGTGCACACAACCACATGCACATTCTCAGACACGTCCCTCAGCTTACGTATTCCCACGTTTAGCTGCTTTCCGAGGTTCTGGCTCCTACCCTTCAGCACATCATTAAGCCCCGCATGAACTATTACTAGGTTCCTTCCCTCCCGGTTATCCCACACCCCCTCACGTGCTGCGGTCATAGCATCCACCATACACTTCCCTGGCTGGACCTCTACGGTTACCCTCTGGTCTCCCTTCACCCTGTTATGTACACCCCTCCTAACCCGTGCTACGTTAGAGCTCCCCACTACCAGTACCCTAGATCCCCCTGGTGCCTGCGCTCCTTTGTCCTGCGACTTATCTCCTGTCACCTCACTGCCCGACGCCTGCTGCTCGAAGGCGCCATTGAGCTGAGGTTCAATCAGCTCTCCAGCGTCGTCGAGCCCGCCTGCCAACAGGCCGGACTCCCGACCACCAGGGACCCCAGCCTGCAGACTGGTGGTTCGTCCCGCTAGAACTGACACTTCCTCCTTTCTTCCCTCGCTACTCTCACTCGCTCGAATTACCCCTTCCAGGCGCTCTACCCTACTGTCACACTCCCTCTTACGCTCCTCTAAACCCGCCTTCCATACTTCCCCCAGCTCTTCCGCCTGCTTCTCGAGGCCGACCCGCTGCTCCCTCTCATGATTAAGCTGCCTAGTCAGCTCCTCTACCTGGGCCTCGAGACCCACCCGCTTCTCTCCTTCTGCCTTAAGCTGGGCCTCAATCTCCCGAACTCTACCCTCCCATTCCCCAGTTACCTGCTGAAGCTTCACACAAAGCCGACACTCGAAACTCACCTCCGCCGCCACCTCCAGGCTCCCGAAACCCGTCTCCTCCAGGTAACACCACCTCCCACACCCCTCGCACTGCACCAACTCGTCCCCACCCTTGTCATGCCGACCCAAATCTAGACCCATGTCTAGACCGGGAACAAACCGTCCCTTCCCGCCAAAAATTCAAACAGAGCCTACTTTGCGAAACTAACGTTAACTGCTGCTGTTCAAACCTAATACTGCTACCGCATAGTCACTTCCATGCAATCAACTCTCAAAAAAGAGAGAGAAAAGAAGAAAAACTGGCACTTAGCTTCGGATGCTCGAGGAGAACCAGGAAACACGTCCGCTCACCGCAACTCAGTCGAGAGACTGAGTTGCGGTGAGACTGAGTCGATTCCAGCGAAATCGACGTCACCTAGCGGCTAGAACAGGAAGCTGTGACGGCAGGTTCGCTCGCCAGCCTTGTCGAGCGAATCAGATATTCACAGCGCCTAGCAGTCTAAAGACGAAGCCGTAAAAGTAAGTTTTAAAAAAAAAATACGCGGTGAAAGTGGCCATTACAGGTGGAATCCAAGGTAAATAATAAGCTTCCACTGTTGCAATATGATATTTGTGATGTTGACATCTGATATATCTGAGCACTGACGTCACTGATATTCTTTTATAGCGTTTGTTTAAAAATTAATTGGGGGAATAGTAAACAACCTCGCACTAGTGTTCCTAACTTCTGGCTACCAAACTCAAGGATCACAAGCTCAAAAGTATAATTCGTCGAGCTCATCTGCCTTTTATTGTTTGAGCTCGAGCGTCTTTTTCAACTTCGCAAATTTGCTAAAAAAAAAAAAAAAAAAAGGAAGTTACTCTAATGAGGTCTGTCCAGGTGAGTTATACGGCCAGGGGGACATAATATGGAGGGGGATAAGTTTAGCAATTAAATATCATGTTCAAAAGTTTTTAATTAGTGAAAATAAACTTATAGTTTCAATAGAAACTTGCTGAGCGTCATAAAAAACTCGTCCAAATCAGTCAATTTGAGAAAGACTTGGAGCGCGTGAGAAGCGCAGTACTGCGCTGAAATTTACACTCGTGCAGCAGGAACAAGGGCATACGGGTGCGATAAGGCGCCTGCGCGTTTTTTCCGTCTCTTATCATCCACGTTTTCTTGCCGCGAGCCTCGTGACTGTTGCGCGAGTGGTAAGTTTGGAGCACTACTGCGCTGCACAGGCGCTTGGTTTTTGTTATAAGTTGTAAGTCGCTTGGTTTGCAAGTTTATAATTGAAACCGTGCGTTTAAGTACACTAATTAAACAGTTAATGAATAAGTTTGAGCGACTTATTCGACTTATCGTGACCACTAGCCCCCTATATCTTGTCCCCCTGGCAGTATACCTCACCTGCACAAACCAGATTGGTGTAACTTTCACGGCTTTTTCTAAACAAATCTATAAAGATGACAAGAAAGGAACACCATTTACACGTTTATTGTTTGTGTGCGCGTGTGTACGTGTGCGCGTGTGTTTAATTAGACTTGCGCACGAAACGATTAAAGCGGCTTCTTTTTCTGGACTGGGGATCAGTGACTCTATGGGGCAGGAGATACGGAACTACAGGAGGCGCTTTATCGTACCTGTTGTTCCTACAGCCTGGCGGTTACTAACGCACCGTAAGCAAGAAATTGAACCTCGCCTAGGGGGATCGGTGGCCGAGTGGGCTAGCGAACACCAGCCCGGAGCACATAGGGTGAAAGCTTGCGCTGCAAAACCCAGGAATCCTGGGTTCAATCCCCACCCCTGCCCGTTTCGATCTGGATGAGCATCGTACCGGCGTGCGGTCGTGTATCACTACTGCGTGGTGCACGTTAAAGACCCCAGGCTAGCGGTTGTACTGCACCGTCTACATTTCTCATCTACAGCTGGAAGACTCGTCGCCCGTTAAGGCAGACCAAGTTCTATAGGCTGTATAAATATACACACAACCCAATTTTTTTTCTCAACCTCGTCTAGTACAGCCTGGGCACGAGCGCTTCGCTCTGACCCGTGTTTTTGTCACACGAGGAGAGGCCTCCGAATCGTCACTTTCGATTTCTCTGATCAAAAACAAACAAGAAAATTCGGTTTGTTGTCCTCACAGCTGAAACGTACCGCAAGAGGCGTGACTGTTCGATCTCCTCCCCAGTACATTCTAAGCTACAAAGAAGTTTCAGTAACTCAGTTCTAACTTAATTACATTCTTGAAATAAGTTTTAAGTATAGTTTCAGTTACAGTTACATACCAGAGTTGATACACAAATTAGCATCGTTCCAGTCTGAACATGCACGTCATCACCACCTCGAGCAGCGCCGTGAACGAAGTGCCAAAGCTCTTTCCGCCGTTGGTATAGAAATGAGCACCACCTCGACATCACGGAATGCCAGAAATGCATATTGCGACGTAATTTAGTCACTCTACGAGTAACTGTCTTTAACATTTTGGCTCAAAGAAAATTTTAAGCCGCTGTGGCACGGCTCACACATCTCGCAGAAGACACGCGCGGTGTTCGCATACAGAGGTGACGGAAGAATCATCTGCTCACCCGCTTCAAGCACAAGGCCCAAGCATGTTTGTTTCATACGCTTCAAACATGTCTACAGACAGTTTTTGTACGATCAATGTGACACAGCATAGCCTCCTACATACTGACAAAGCCTGGCAGATCGCCACGAGAAGCGGCCGCCGAAAGGGAAAAGGTGGAGCGGCAGACAACGGATGGAAGGAGAGCCACGTGACTGGCGCCCCGCTGCGGCGAGACGCCGAAACACACTTCTCCCGAGCGAACAAGTGTGTTTCGGGTCCTCACCGCTGCAAAAGCTGTGCACTGACAGGTTCCCCGAAAAATGGCTTTCTGATGCTCTGTGCTACCAGATTCTCGCATTCCCAATTCGCGACCGGGCACTCAGGCTTCGTGAGTATATATGGGGGGTTACGGACACAGTTATGAAACACGAGGCCTCTTATAGCGTCCGAATATTATGACTTGTGTATGATGTATTTGCAGGGTGACCACAGCTCTACAGCTCTGGGTCGGAACAGCTCCGGTAGTGAATCTGTGACCAGTGTTGGCATATCATAACGAACATTGCGCTCTTTTTATCGTGTACGAACGAGCGCTTCGCACCGCCAGTGCGTCGCCGGTGCGTGTACCTGGAACTCCGGGGTGCTGTCGGCGAGGCGCTGGAGGTCCCTGCTGAGCGTGAAGGCGGTCAGCACGGGGTCGTCGGACGTGAGCAGGATGTACACCGGACTGCTCAGGGCCCGGAACGCGTTGCGGCGGAGCTGCGACTGCGACAGCCTCTCTCCGTGCTTCTGGGACTGCTCGCGGCACAACTCCGCGCACAGACCTGCCGTCGAAACCACGGGCCGACTTGTAGGGACTTTCGTTTTCAGCCACCTCACGCAACGTCGGACCTTTCCGGAATTATGTGGCGCCCCCACCGTCTACTCGAGTCATTACATGGCGTCCCGATGTACGGCGCGCGAGATTATCCGTGAATCGAAGACGAAGTTGACGTTGGCTTATCATTTTGTGATATGTGGAGCGGCTGGGAGTAAAGTAAAAGAGTCGTGAAACGTTTTAATATTCCTGAAAGGTATGAAAACTCGCTTCGAGCACATATGTGGAAAGTCACCTCGGCCGATCTATTTATTGATCATGCATGCTGTTCATATTAAAATTAAAGGCAACATTCTTGAATTCGCTTGTCGACACAGGAAACCCTCAAACTTGTCAGATATTTTGTGGTTCCGTCTTACAGTTAGAGACGGAAGCCGTCGGTGTGCTACGCCGATACCGGCACACCGTCGTTCAATTGAGCACATCAATTCTTTTTCAAGCGAGATGCATGGATATGATGTTTCGGCTTTCAAATCTAAGTATATTTATTCGCTGAGGATGGGCTAAGAATTTTAAAAAAGGAAGCGCTCCGACTGTCTTCTCGACAACTTTTCTGTCGCCGAGCTATCGGTACGCTTGTTCGATAGATCAATTCGTTTTCAGGCAAAGCTCACGAACGAACCTTTTCATCGACGCTCACTGATGTTTCGGCTTTCAAACCAAAGTATCTTTATTCGCTGGGTTAAGCATTATAAAAGGGGCGGAGCGGTCCCACTTTCTTTTCATCACAACAACTTTTCTGTCACTGTGATAGAGGTATTCGTTTTCAGGGAAGACTTACGAGCAGACTTTTACCGGAAAGCTAATTTCTGTCAGCTTTCAAAACAAATCGTTTTTACCTGCTGGATTAAGCAATCATCAACTGAAAAGGAGCAGCGCGCGCGGTCCAGCTACACCTTTCGTATCGACCGTCTCATAAACAGCGCAGCCATCTTGTTTGTTTACGCAACGTCACGGAGAGCGAAGAAGTCACTCGCGCTCCGAGAAATACTCGGTGCCCGAAGAGCGCGCTCGGGTGTCCGTCTCCAGTGGCACTCCTTGTGGATTCTGCACTCCTAATGATAAGACAGGATGGATCGTGTCGCTTCCAGGATACATACAAAGCGTTCGAGTAGGCACGAGTGTACATCGAAAGAGTTCCACAATTCCCCTCGCCACGAGATATTTCGAGAATTTCCGGAAAGGCCTATTCTCTGTTTATATATAAGCAAGCAGCATTTGTATTGTCGCCGATCATGCAACAACCCGCTTTTCGAAGAACTAAACCTCTGTACGCAAGCTCAGATGACTGTCAGTGCCACCGCATTGGTGTGATCCGTCAGAAGCATGAGGTGGTTTATAGGTAAAAATGCACATTTCTGAAAGTATTATGCACACGCGTCTTGTGTTCAACGGCGTCTACAGACTGGGCTAATCATGGAGCCCAGTCATGCAGCGAATCATGCCGCGGAAAAACTATTAATTTTATAAGTACCAGGCTCGTTTTATATTTGCTCGATGGAATTCCAGCATGTAGAGAACAGACGCCCTCTCGCACGACTTGTTCCAGCTTGACCAAGTCACGCCGAGAGGGTGTCTTCTTGTCTTTAGCTTTTATAAGAAAGGAAATGGGGGGAAAATGAAAAAGAGCGCTTACAGCCTGGCTCGTGAGGTTTCTGGATGACGTGTCCCCTGTCCAGGAGCATCTTGGTGATCTCCAGGTCTCCCGCGATGGCTGCCGCCATCAGCGGAGTCATGTTGCCCACGGGAACGGTGCACGGCCCATGGGCGCTGCAGGTCGCGGGAACGATATCTTCGCAGAACCGCATTCGATTGTGCTCGGTGATTTTTGACGACATAGCGCAAGCCCTTGTGTGTTTATTACTGACCCCAGTACCTTCGCTGATTGCTTTACTGTAATATGGTTAGATATGTCCTGCCACCCACAGCCTTTTGGTTTTTAGATAGTGGCGCTTTAAGGCTGCACTCCATGGGGCTTAGCGAATATGCTGCGAAAAATCGAGGAATTTTGCCCGGCGGCTCTTTTCTTCGCGTGGCATGAGCACAGTAGCTGCTAGGTCGCGCGCAAAGCGGGCATACCTTCGGGAGAAGTTCGTCCTTGCATGATTCCTCCATGTGACACTGTCGTGCAATGTTGTTATTGAAGCGACCGTTTCTCCAATTACGGCCAATCCCGAAAAAGCACGACAGTCGCGGGTCTCTTTTATTTCTCCGTCACTTTAGGACTCTTCATCTAAATGTGGCAATCTTACTAGTTTTGATTACGGCTCAGTTCTCTGCCCTTCGCTGCCCGTGGCATCAGCGGACGTCTAGAACACCGGAGTAAACTGGAGTCGGCCCTTGCTCCGTGCCATCTTGAACGTCATCAAGAAAGGTACACACAACAAACGTGCGTTCACACTTCCTTGTTTCAACCGACATTCTAATTAATTCTTGTACGAGGGTCTTGGTGTTTCGTTTTCCTTATTGCTTATATTTATACATTGAAAACCTTTTCTGATTCACCAACGTCTCAACCGAGGTTCGACCTGTTCAGAACGAAAGGAAGAAGAATATTGATCCATACCTTATTTATTATTTAATTATCAACTTACTTACCAACTATGTTTGGCTATTGTCTGGCAATAGAGAGTTTTAGCAAATCGTTTTTTCGTCCCGAAAACGATACCTCCTCTCCCCTCCGGCGGCCTTGGACGTGCATCGTGTCGTTATCGGGTGCCGTTATCGGGGCAAAAAACGATCTGCTAAAACTCTCTAATATATACCTGTATAGTAAGGCGCGCAGAAATCAATTCTTATTCCAATTTGGCTAGCTTTATGACGAATTTTAGAGTTTCGTGATTTCGACAATAGTGAATTTTAGTAAATCGTTCCGATGACTCCGATAACGATTCCCGATACTCCGCCGCCAGCTTTCCGCATGCGTCATATCGTTATCGCGTATCGTTATCGGCAGTATCGGAGGTATCGGAATGACCTACTAAAACTCTCGAATATCAGGCAACGGCTGCAACGACGAAGCTTTGCTCTATCTTCGAGGTAAATAGTACTTCCATTGCTTCGATGAAGAAGCTCAATGCAGAGTATGAAGCATTCGTAAGGCACAAAACGGCACTCCCATCCGGTGCCTCAGTCCAAAAGGTGTTCAGCGTAGCAGTCGACATCTTGAGGAAGAAATGACGCAAAATGTCTGACGAGACTTTCAAAAGCCAGCTGTTGCTCAAAATACTCAAGGTCAATTAATGGAATAGGTGGCAACAAGCGCGACCTACGGCGGAACAGGCGTCTGCCGTATCTGCATCCGTTGCTGTGCCACCGTCACGGCGAGCAACAGCATGGCACAAATGTGATATCATCTCCTCAACTCGGACCCAGAACACGCGTCAACGTGGCCTGGTGCCTTTCCTATGCCGGCAATGTTAATCATAGCCACGCGCTGGGGTTGGCCAGGGAGTTAAACGTGTGCTTATCCCCAGGCATTGTTAGAGTTTGGCTGTTCTCATCACCGCTGTGGTTGGACACGAGCCACTACCCGTGTGTCCGCCTAGGCATTGATCGTTACGAGCCAAAGTCTAGTGCTCACGCAGTTCTCATGTCCAATCCATGAACTGCAGTGCGCTCGGCTGTCTTCAGGCGGATGGTACCGATCCCACAATAACGTCATCTAGCTTTGCGAAGGCAAGGCTGAAAGAAATAGTCTCCCTTTATTCTCGCAATTTCACCGCGACAAAGAAGCTTTGGATCAGTGGCTGTCTGCGCGAGTACAGCGCAGCAGAGGTTGGGTGCACTATTTCTCCACGGGGCGCGGTGCCGCCGGGGCCGAGAAGCGCTCCGATTGCAAACCGAAACTCAAGCCTGGTTCAGACAGTTGCGTTTGACTGCGTTTGACTGCGTTGCGGCAGCGAGAAACCAGGACATCCCTGCTGCATATGTCGCGTGCCAAGAGGACTCCTTGAATTGGATTCAATGCTTCATATGAAGCACAGTTGTGTCGGTGACTCGCTTTCGGTTCTCGACGCAACACAGTCAAACGCACTCAAACGCAAGTGTCTGAACCGGCCTTCAAAAACCCCTCGAGTTTGTGTGGTTTTTCAGAAAGCCGTAAAATGCTGCGCGTGCCTTCTATTGTTCTGAAATTTCTTGATTTACTGTTTTTCGATCATGCTAAAGATTTTTCTAATTGAAACCATGCCTTAAACACAATATTAAAAAAGTTAATTATGCAAAAATAAATAACAATCTAATTATCCCGGACTTTAATAATTTTCCTAACTAGGCCCCTGGCCCAAGACCAAAATGACACAAGCCTTTTTTTGTTGCGACGCGTAGTTTTCGCAATATCGAATTTGTCCACTTTTCATGAAACACCCTGTACGTAATGCTGCAACAATCGTCTCAAAAACAACAAACTATTTTTTTTTTAATCTTCCGCGGGAGAGATGTGTTTGGTCGTGAGCTCTGGAGCGCTCTGGCGCTCGCTCGCTGGGTTGAATTAGGGTGCCTTCATGTGCGCTTTGCTGAGGGAGGAGACATCTGGCCATTTTGTCCCACACTTTTATTTTTATTTTTTTGTTCAGAAGCGCGTGAAAGAGCGTGTCCCGGCACGCGTTTGTGGCGCTGACTGTGCTATGGCGACATTTTGTTTTCGTCCATTTCTTTGTATTTTACCCGTGAGCGCGCTCTGTCGGCATCGGGTACTACAAAGGGTGGCATCACCCTAAGCAGAAAGACATTGAGGCACCCTAGGTTGAATCGTAGTCCAGGTTGTATGGACAACGAGCCGCGCGCATTCGAGGTATCACTCCGCGGTTCCACCGGTCGGAGGCGCGAGGATCCTTTACTTTCTATTGGCTGACAGTGGTTCTGGTTTCGGAACATGTTCCTCCCATCGCCGGAGAGGACCTCGGTGTGTTGCGATCTTCGATGGCAATGCTTTTTTAACAGGAAATTTTTCAGCGTATTGTCATGGTTTAGGGATTTCTAGGACGCTTAGAGCCAGCAGAGAGAGTTATCGCCATATTTAGGCGATCTCTGAAACCTCCTCAGGGCACCTCTAAGGGTGAACGGACTATAGCGTCAGCGTTATTAGACTACCTCAGTTGTTGAACTTTCGCGGAGGGAATTACCTCCCATCACTCCCTTCAATCCGCCTCCCGTCGTTTGAAGCGCCATCTAGATTTTCGTTTCCAAACTGTATTCGTTAGCACATGGCCTCCGAGATCGCGAAGCAAGCGACTTTGGGATCTGTGAAACGCTAGACGCTGTGCTTCGAAGCATACGTATTTCATAGAGTACACTGCAATTATCATATCGGCTATCCCCTTAAAACAATGGCGTGTCGAACGACGGGATGCGAGCCGTGTTGAAGAGAAGAAAAAGAGGGGGGGGGGGGGGGGGGGGCACTGTTAGGGCAAGCACCGCTAATGGGCAGTTCCGTAACTCAGCTAATCTAGTAGTTTTGGCTAGTTCATGGTCATTCTTAGTTTTTTTTTTTTTTTTTTTAGTAAAACGAATAGACCGATCTCACCAAGCTTTCGGCACATGCGTGACACCGCCATAACAGCCATAACTTTAGTTCGCAGGATGCAGGCGGCAGTGCACGAGACGGCTCGTAAAGTCTCGTTCACTGCACGCGCAGAGCTCCAGGGAGGTTGTCACACTACGCCACACAGTGCAGCAGCGGTTCGTGGCTCAGCCAAAATGACTGGTGAGATCGGTCGAAGCCTGTGCTATAAGCGATTGCAAGCAGGGCGACTTGCCGCCGCGGTCGCCGACAGGGCATTGATTTCGGGCAGGTACAGGCTCAGCAGCACGGCCACCACAATGACCGCTGATGTTACGTCAGTGCAAGCCAAGTAGAGAGCATGTCCAGTATGAATTGTAAAGTCACTTTGGACGGCCATGCTGACCCGTCCAGGAGGATCTTGGTGAGCACGAGGTCTCCCCGCTGCACAGCCACCAGCAGGGCGGCCTGCACGTGGTCCGGGTCCAGGGCGCGCAGTCGGAGCAGCTCCACGCTCGCGTCCACGTCCCCGTTCTGGGCGCACACCTCGAGCGCCCGCAGGCCGCGCATGTCGCAGCAGTTCACGTTCAACCCCGGATGCGCCTGCAGGACACGCACCCTCTTTTGCCTTCGCATCGCACCACACAAACGCCCGCGCATCTGCTTTCCCGCGCAGCACGCGGTTAACCGATCAGGCCAATCTTGAGCGTGTCCGACGAATGACGAGGTTCAAAGACGATTGCATTCGGAAGCGCAATTTATGAATGGGCAGTGAGCGAGCAATTCGGTGTGCGCGTATCGACATTGCGCTTCTTTTTCCAGCCGTTTTGGGGAATTCGTCATTGGTTGGAGACACTCCGTAGATCCGAGTGACTGGCCCACCAAGCACCTGCAGAAAAATAGCGCTTGCTGGAAGTTTCCTTTTTCTAAAGTGGGTGCAACTTTCTCGTCATCTTGCGGAAATTAGATAAGGAGGTGTTCGCCGAGGTGCTTGTTCATTTATTCATTATTTCGAGGCTGTGCCCAATAAGCTTTATACCAAATTACCCAAGCATCAAGGGGAATGCTGGGAACGTAAGTGCACGCGCTGTTCGCGTTCGCTTTATCTCTATAAAAGATTGAAAGTAAAACGCCAAAATAAAGCGTGATGACGTTGACGTGCCAAGCGCGATATGTTTTGGGTTTTTGCTTCTGAACCGCGCAGCGCGTGTAAGTACATTGGTGTACGCTCTTTGGTGCCTTTGTAATTTATCAACAGGTCTATTCCAGAGCGACAACGTTAGAAACGGGAGTTTTAAATGACCTGAAGCATAGCCTCTTTTAAACTATATACAGTATATATAGTATATAGTATACAGGGGGCGATGGCATATGGTAAACGTGAAAATACACGACATGTCCATTGCTGCGTAGTGGATTCTGGTGGTCATCTTCCATTACCCTTCCGCTAACATGCGTTAATATCGAAGACAATGTAAGTAAGCAGGGACGTACGAAAACGGGACACATCACCTCTCAGTAGCAATGAAAGCAAATGTTTATTCTGAAGTGTATACCTCGCAATCCAGGTAATCTAAAACATTCGTTTGCCCCGTTTTGTGTGAATTGTCCTTTCTTCGACCATCAACTCCGGCTTCAGGTGCGCGTTATCATCAGCCTCGTCGCTTTTTGCTGTCGATAAGTGGGGGCTCGTTTTGCGCATGCGATATAAACAGCGCGCTCAACCAACGTCATTTCGAAGACTGCGCTTTACTCCTCAAACGCCATCACTCGCAGATCCACTGAGCCATGGTATGCGGGGCGCAAGTTCGTCTGCTTCTTTTGCCGGGTTGTGGTCACGTCAGAACGACGCCGACCTCTGATTCGCTCTGATCGATGGATAGGGGGTAGATCTGAAAGCAAGCTGCCTCGAGGTCTACCCACTATCATTCACTCAGAACCAATCAGAGCTCGGCGTCGTTCTTACGTCACCACAACCCCCGAAAAAGGAGCCGACGAACTAGCGCTCCGCATACCTTGCGTCAGCATCGCCGAGAGCGCGTCTTTCAGCGTCTCAAAACGAGCGCGACGCTAGCACAAGGACGACGCCAAGGCGCACGCGTCTGTCGCTTTGCGGTGACTCTCGTCCAGCTTCGGCGTGTTCCCCACCTGGGGCGGGGTGGATCCACAAATGATGACGTCATTCGCAGGCCTTCTGGGGGTATTGGCTCGTTGACTCATCAGTGGCGTCGAGGGAATAGGCGGTATTTTCTGGACGCCATATTTAAGCGCGCTGTTCAGAGGGCATGCTCAGAACGAGCTCGCATTGATAGGCTGCTAAGACCGGTAATCTTAAGGGTGTGGAAAGCACGTTGGGAAAGAACTGTGGAAGCTCGCCGTCAGCACGGGCTTAGCAGCCGCGCGCACAAATATGGCCGCCAGCGAATAGTCCCCGTAGACTTTTTGCCGAACTACCCGAGCATCAAAAATAATGTCGGGAACGTAGGTACGTGCGCTGCGCGTGCGGGCATCTTCAGCCCCAACTGTACGAAAGCAAAAATCTAAAACAAACGACACTTTGCACGCGCTTTCTACGGACGCTTTATTCCGGTTATTTACTTGGAATCTTTTCTGTGGGGAAGGCGAGCACGTGCAGCGCGTGTGCCTACGTTTTCACCGTTCTCTTTGACGCTTGGGTAGTTTAGCGAAAGGTGTGTACCTGAAGTAGCGACCTGAGTCCCAGGATGTCTCCGTTGCGGATGGCGTCGAGAAAGCGTTGCTCCTCGGCCTGGAGCCTGTGGCCCCTGTGGATAAGCGCCCTGCGTCGGGCCGCGGACTCCTGCTGCGCCGCTCCCTCGAACGCCGCGTTGTCCATCCTCGGCTGCCACGCGCGGGGTGCGGTCCGTTCAACGGGTCTGTTGCAAATGACGCGCGTCAACTTTTCCTAATTCCGCCATTGATACTGCGGTGCCTGGAAGGCGCCTCCGACTAGTGTGTTGAGCGTCCTAGATGCCTGTTTTTCTCGGCCAGAGGTCGGCGTGACTTAAAAGTGAATAGGGTTACAGCAGGACCGAGATTCTCACTCGGAGAGGGGAAAGGGAAAGCAGAACACGGGAGAGGAAGAGAGAATGCACAACACAAATGTCCACAAAAAGGGACGGCAACTGCTAGAGCAATTACATTTGCAGTTAACATTCCCGACAGGCAACACGATGAATGAAACACAGCAGTGTCCCCAGCCCAGAAAAACCTCCCGCGACGAAAAGACTGCGATGGCAGGGCCCCGAGGGCAAGAAGCCGCACGCGGCAGGCCGAGCGAGGCATCCCGGTCGGGGTGGAGCCCCACCCGCCCCGCCACAATCGAGTCCGGCAGTCTTGCCCCCGTGTCCGTCGAACTCCGACACCGGCCCAAAAACGGCAAAGGGCGCCGCTCACAACAGGTCTGCTAAACAAAGAGGAAAAGGGGAGAATTGGAAGGGGCGACAATTTGGCCGTCCGCACGAGCAGTACGCAACTCGGCCTCCCCGGTCTAGCTTTGATGTAAAGCCGGTTTGAAGCAGAATTACAGAGAGTTTATCGAATGAGTGGTCAGGTTGTAATAAGTGTTTAGAAAGTGCAAGACTGGGAAATGTGGTCGAATGGGATCGGTGGTTGTTAAATGTGATATTGAAGGCTGTCATGGTTTGTCCCCCAATACTTGCCCCGACAAGCCTGACACTCGAAGAGGTAGACAACGTTAGGAGTGCAGCACGCAAGGTCCCCGTCAATCCTCATGGGGAAATTTGATTTCGTGACTATGGCATACCCTGCAGTCAGGCTTCCCGCAAGGTCTGCATCCTGGGAATCAACCAGCATGCCCTAGGTTTGTAGAAGGCCGGTAAGTGACACGGGGAGGTGATGGAAGTATTTTTTTTTTTTTAGCCGCTGGCTTTGTTCGTTTATATTAAAGTGTTTGCTAAGAATTTTGTTGACGTTAGGGAAATCAGTGCTGTACGTAAGAACGATCTCTCGTCGCGGGGCGATCCGCCAAAAGTTCGTCGCGGTCAAGTGCTCTGGCTCAATCTATCGCGTCGTCTTCCCCTCTCACGTTGTGCTTTCTCTTCTCCCTCTCCGAGTGAGGATCTTGGTCATGCTGTAACGCTATTCACTTTTAAGTCACGCTTGAAGGAGGAGGGTCCACCTCCGAAACGTTCGATTAAACTATCCAAGTTTGTTTGAACTTCGGTGGCTTTTTTACACACGCACACGCACACGCACACACACACGCACGCACGCACGCACGCACGCACGCAACACACACACACAAATCAGCGCCTGCACGTACCATTCTAAACTTTTCGTCAAATTCAGCGTTCTATCACGGTGTGCAATTTTTTTTTTTTCAACTCTGTTTGTTTTGATTTATTTCACAAATGTATAGTAACGCAGGCCGCCGTTGTAAAGCACAGCTGTAAGGCGACATTAAATACCGCGGCTTTCTCGCCAGGGCGCTGTTCGAAACACGAGAGCAACCAGTGGTCACGAAGTGGATATAAATGACGTCACCAAAGCTGTCGGATGACGCGATCCTGTCGGCTGGAGCAGAAGTTCTGACAAGAAGAATTGGCGAGTTTCATCGCGTGTTTATGAACCTACTTTTACGGCTTCTCCCATGTGGCGCATTTATACTGGCTGTTGAGCTGCGTTTGCGAAGCGGCTGCGGACGGGGTTGGCGGTCGACCCCGTTCAGACACACCGAGACGCGGTTGGCGGTTTCTCGGCGACCACGCGGGATCGTTTGAGACTTGCGTTTGGCAACCTCGTTTTACAATCCGAAATCCAGTTTAATCCGCGATCCAAAGCCAACATTTAGCTATTTTGGCACGGAAGGTTTTTCTTCAAGATGTTTGCACGCATCACGAGCTCAGGCAGAGAAAAAAAGCGATTCCCTCGACTTCGCCCACAAGCAAAGCCCAGCTAGGCGCGCCTTGCTGACTCGGAACAGGATGCCCCCCACCTTTTTTTTCGAAGTGAACCCTTCCCGGATAAATAGCCGACCTTGTTTTGAAATAGAGCGCCGGTTTTATCCCCGCGTTTTTCGCTCTTATCATTTTCAGACTCGTGAGCGTCACTGGTTGACCGTGGTGCTTGGAGTAAATAAATACATAAATATATAAATAAATAAATAAATGTGCATGGTGCAAGCCGGCCGTGGCTTCGTTGGCGGTGGACTCTCTTCTCGATCGAGTCTGCGGTTTGTTTGACATTAATCTGAGACAAATGGAGTTTGGATTACGTTTGCATCCTCTGGTACGTACATTTTATTTCTTCAATAGGCTCTCTTTTTTTCCTTTACTTAGTTGCAAGTCGAGCTATCGCAGGTACCCTGCCAGCTCCGTCGCAGTGCGTTGGCTACGCAATTAGGCTCACGACGTCTCTATCGACCTTCCTGTCGGTCATGCACGGTGTCGAAAGCTTTTAGTAGTTCACGCGACTGCCTTAAAGGCCGACGTACAACCTCGGTTTTCTGCAGCGAAGATAATCCTGTCAGCGCTCCCCTCTCCTAATCTGCGAGGGGAGCCAAGTTGGAGCAAGGTAAAAAGTGGAGAGGATGTAGGAAAGGAGGTGAAGGGCAAAAGTGGAAA